CTTACAATTTTTATTGAATAAGTCTCCACTTCCTTGGCTAAATTTATTTTTAGGTATTTTATTCTTTTTGTTGCAATTGTAAATAGTATTGAATTCTTGATTTCTCTTTCTGCTAGTACATTGTTAGTATATAGAAATGCCACTGATTTTTGTATGTTGATTTGGTATCCTGCAATGTTATTGTATTCATTAATTATTTCCCACATTTTTTTGTGGATTCTCTGGGGTTTTCTCTGTATAGAATCATGTCATCTGCAAATAGTAACAGTGACAGTTTTACTTCTTCTTTTCCAAGCTGGATCTCTTTTATTTCCTTTCCTGACCTGATTGTTCTGGCTAGGACTTCCAATAGTATGAGAGTGGTGAGCGTGGGCATCTTGTTCCTGCTCTTAGAGGAATAACTTTCAGTTTTCATCATTGAGTATGATGTTGGCTGTGGGTTTGTCATAAATGGCCTTTATTGTGTTGAGGTACTTCCCTTTTATATCCATTTTATTTGGAGTTTTTATAAGTGGATGTTGGATCTTGTCAAATGTTTTCTCTACCTCTATTGAGATGATCATGTGATTTCTATACTTCACTTTATTAGTGTGGTGTATCACATGGATTGATTTGTGGATGTTCAACCATTCCTGCATGCCCGGAATCAATCCCACTTGATTGTGCTGTTTGATCCTTTTAATGTATTGTTTTATTTGCTTTGCTGATTTGCATCTACCTTCATCAGTGGCATTGGCCTGTAATTTTCCTTTTTTCTGTTTCCGTTGTCTGGTTTTGGTATCAGGGTAATGTTGGCATCACAAAATAAGTTAGGACGCATCCTGTTCTCTTTGATTTGTTGGAAGAGTTTGAGAAAGGCAGGTATTAAATATTCTTTGGATTTTTGGTGGAATTCACAAGAGAAGCTGTTTAGTCCTGGACTTTTGTTTTTTAGGAAGTTTTTTATTATTGTTTCGATCTCTTTACTTGTGATTCATTTATTCAGGTTCCCTATTTCTTCTGGATTCAGCTTGGGAAGTTGCATAATTCTAAGAATTTATCCATTTGTTCTATATTATCCAATTTGTTGGCATACAGGTTTTCATAGTAGTCTCATAATCCTTTGTATATCTGTGGTTTCCACTGTAATTTCTTCTTCTTCATTTCTGATTTTATTTATTTGAGCCTTCTCTTTTTTTCTTGGTAAGTCTAGTTAAAGATTTGTCCATTTTGTTTATGTTTATAAAGAACCACTCTTGCATTCATTGATCATTTTTATAGTTTTTCTTTTTTTGAAGCTATGCTTTTTGGTGAGGAAGATTGCCCCTGAGCTAACATCTGTTGCTAATCTTCCTCTTTTTTTTTTTCTCCCCAAGCTCCAGTACATAGCTGTATATCCTAGTTGTAAGTCCTTCTAGCTCTTCTACGTGGGATCCCACCACAGCCTAGCTTGATGAGTGGTGTGTAGGTCTTCACCCAGGATCCAAACCAGCAAACCCTGGGCTTCCAAAGCAGAGAGCGTGAACTTAACTACTATGCTACTGGACCAGCCCCTATTTTTTTTTAGTCTCTATTTCATTTATTTGTGCTCTGTCTTATATAATTTCCTTCCTTTTACTGACTTTAGGCTTTTTTTTTTCTAGTTTCTTTAGGTATAGTGTTAAGATTGTTTATTTGAGGTTTTTCTTGTTTTTTTATGTAGGCTTTAATTGCTACAAACTTCCTTCCTAGTACTACTTTTGCTGTATCCCATACGTTTTGGTATGCTGTGTTTTTATTTTCATTTGTCTCCAGATTTTTTTATATCTCTTTTGATTTCTTCATCAATGCAATAATTGTTCAGCAGCATGTTATTTAGTCTGCACATATTTATGACTTTTCTAGTTTTCTTCTTGTAGTTGACTTCTAGTTTCACACTATTGTGGTTAGAAAAGTGGCTTGATATGATTTCAATCTTCTTAAATTTCTTGAGGCTTGTTTTGTTTCCCAATATACAGTCTATCTTTGAGAATGTTCCATGTGCACTTGAGAAGAATGTGTATTTTGCTGCATTGGATGAAATGTTCTCTCTCTATATATCTATTAAGTCCATCTGGTCTAGTGTTTCATTTAAAGCCACTGTTTCCCCGTCTTTCTGTCTGGATGATCTATCCATTGATATAAGTGGAGTGTTAAAGTCCCCTACTGTTATTGCGTTACTCTCAACTTCTCCCTTTAGCTCTGTTAATAGTTGCTTTATATACTTTGATGCTCCTGGGTTAGGTACATATATATTAATAAGTGTTATATCTTCTTGGTCGAATGTCCCTTTCATCATTATATAATGTCCATCATTGTCTCTTGATATCAGATGAATGTATTATACCCAGGTAGAGTATGTGAGTGTGTGTGTGTGTCTTTGTGTGTTTATTTTCTTCCTTGATGTTCTTTAAGTATGTTGAACCTGTGGTTTGGTGTCTGTCATTAATTCTCAACCCCCATTTCTTCAAATATTTCTTCTGCCCCATTCTGTCACTATTTTCCTCCTGGTATTCCAGTTACAAATATGTTGCAATGTTATATGCTGTCCCATAGCTTTTGGGTGTCCTGCTCAATTTTTCTTCACTCTTAGTTGTAAGTTCCTTACAAAATGGTTCCCAATTATGTCTCCAAGTATACATGCCTTGTATAATCCTCTCTGGGCTATACCTAGTGACTTGTTTCAAATTAGTGGAATATGGAAAAGTGCTGAGATGTCACTTTCAATATTTGGTTATAAATTACTGTGATTCTACCTTTCTAGTACTCTCTCACTTGCAGCAGGAGCTCACACTCTCTCTGCCCTGTGGAGAGGTCAATATGACAGGGAATTTAATGCAGCCTCCATCTAATTCTGCAAGAAACTGAGTCCTCCAGTACAACAGCCCATGAGGAACTGAATCCTGCCAACAACTTCATTAGTGACTGTTAGTCTGTTGGGCTGCTGTAACAGAATGCCACAGATTGGGTAATTTAAACAATGGACATTTATTTTCTCACAGTTCAGAAAATTAGAAGTCCATGATCAAAGTGCTGGCATATTTGGTGTATACTGAGAGCTCTCTTCCTAGCTTGTAGATGGATACCTTCTCAGTGTGTCATCACATGGCTTTTCCTCTGTATGTGTGCAAAAATACAGAGAGCATTCTGGTGTCTCTTCGTCTACTTATAAGGACACCAATTTTATTGGATTGGAGCCCCACCCTTATAACCTCACTTAAACTTATTACCTCCCTAAAGGCCCTATCTCCAAATACAGTCACACTGGGGGTTATAGCTTCAACCTATAAATTTTGGGAGGACTCAATTCAGTACATAATAGTGACTATGGAAACAACGTTGTGAATTTGCCAAGGTAGCATGAGTCAAGTCTTCAAGTGAAACCACAACCCCAGTTGACAACTTGATTACAGCCTTATGAGAGATCCAGCTACTGCCCAAAAGAGAAAGTTATCACATTCGTGATGCCTTCCCATTCCAAAGATAAGAAAGAGACTCAAATATTTAGGTTAGGATCAGCTGCCAAGTGTGTGAGTGAGATAACTTTGGAGACTGGAAATGGAAGAAGCCAAAAACAGAAGCAAATGTGTTGTGGAGGCAGGTCAAAGAACATCAATAGGTTCTGTCAGGTTCTATCAAAGAATAACAATAACCAGGTTTCACTGTTTTGGTTTTAGTTCTCACTTCTGTAGTTCAACGTTCAAGCATTTACCAGCAACAGTTTGCTCTGGATTGTGTCAGCATAAATATCAAAGAAGTGAAAATTTTCCAGTCATCCTGTATTTTGAAATTTTCAAGAAGTTGTGGCTGAGAAACAAGGTATCAGACCAAGTTTCAGTACCCTCCTCTTGTATCCTCCATTCCTTTGATCATATGACTTTGTCCTAGATAGTAAATCATATTTCTCCAATGTCTTGTTTCATTTCAAGCTTTCCTAGAAAAAGTTCTCCCTGTTTTTCTTCTGACTGCTTCTGACTTGAAGCAGTTACCTCTGCTCTGAGAAGATAGAAAGAGACTATGTCAGAGGCACAGCTAGTTCATACCTAGTAAGCCCTAAGATTTAATTAGACTTCTTAATAATACATTTGGTGTTAATTGCAACATAATTTTATTTAACCTTTGTTATGTGGTCTGCCATGTATCCAGGTTGACAAGAAAGGAAAAAGTTTTTGAATTTATCAATGGACATTTATAAGGGCTAAGTTATTTATCTGAAGTCTTTATTTTCTTACATCCTTTTAATTTCTATATGTTAGCTTCATTTTTATTAATCAACCTTCTCCACATGGAAGTATGCTATGAAAAATCTTGACAAGCGCTCTGACAGGCTTGTTGGCTTTTCCTTGGACCTGTCACTGTAATCAGGGAGACATGGGCTTGTAAGAAGATGTGAGCTCTAATTATTAACATATCAAACATGGAGAAGAAAAATAAATTTTCCCAAAGAAGTAGGGTAGGACATACAGGCCCGTGAGAACATAAAACAATAACTGTGAGCTGAGAAGCCATTTCTGGTTTTCTGCCAAATGCTTTAAAAATCATTTAAATTGATGTTTTCCAAACTCATTTGATAACTAAATAGCATTTTCTTTCATATTATCATTAACATTAAAAAATTAATTTTCCAAGGATTTCATTTTAAACATTTTCAAAGATTACCAAATATTTTCAAATGTGTTTATCCATGCCCATATTATCAGCAAGACTTTCATAGAAAATCCAGCTTTGAGCAATGTAATTTCCCTCTGGGACCTTTAACATAGACTGTTGTTATATGTAAGCTAAAGTAAACAAATCTGGCGATATATTTTTATCCTTTAAATAAATTCCATATAAATCTTTTAACACAAAATATGAATCTTTTTGAAAGTTTATAGTTCCCCTTTTCTGTGGGAGTTTTTAGGCAGATTCTTTAACTTCCTTTGTTGTCCCATATCCTGACATGATAAGGAAGTAACAAGGAAAAACCAACCTCAGCTTTTATAATGACTTCTCCTTTCAAGTACCAGTAGCTCAATTTTAGGGTCTTATTTCCAATGAACAGATCTGTTCGTACATCATGAGCACACCTCTGAGGGCATATATAAGAGGATCCAGGAATCACTTCTTAAGACTCAGGAAGAGAAATTCTCATAATGATGCTTCCTCAAAACTCTTGGCATATTGGTAAGGGTTTGCTTTTATTTTGTTCTGCCATTTGGGTGAGGGTGGATATAGTAGGGGTATGCATGTCAAAAGAGAGATATAAATATCATACAGTAAGGAAAAAATAGAGGGAAAATGAGAAATATAAAAACTATTGGAAGTTTTCTGAAGCTTATAGTAACAGAATGTTGGAGGCAGAACTGAAATCCAAGAAAAGGGAAAATAATTAATAAAGTCAACAAAAGTGTATAATAAAGGCTGGAGATTAGAAGTCACACAAGGATATGAAGTTGTGAAATGAAAAAGTAGTAGAAGTGAGAAACACATATTTATTGTTACCAAATGCCAGCTACTATGTTAAATACTTCATATCATTTCAATTTAATTATCACACGTAATCTATGAAGTAGATATCTTTGTCCCCATTGTTAGATAGAAAATGAACATTTATAAAGACTAACCAATATGTGTAAGGTCATATAGTAAATTCTAAAATGTAATTTAAACCAAAGACTAGCTAAGTCCAAACCCTTGATCTTTCTGCTATAAATTTTAGTAAGGACGAGAAATAAAATGGAAATTATGATGAGAAAACAAAGGACAAATCTTTAATGGACTCTGAAGAGTAAGGACAGAGAAAGAAAAATATAGTTAAGAAATGTTTCAGAATGCATTTGAAATTAGTGAAAATCTTTAAATTTACACTTCATAGACATTTAGTGGAAATAAGGAATGGTGAAGCATTATGGGGCTGAAGGAGGTTTTTTGCTGCATTTGGGACTTATTAGGCTTAAACAGCGTAAAGGCTTTTGAAAATGCAACACTGCTGTTAGTGCTGTGTCTCTATGCCACCACACCAGTGCACCATTACTGAGTCAATTTAAAATTTTGTGACTATTTTGATTATGGTTGAAAACCAGCAAATTTCTAGAAAATCAGCAGACTGTCTCATTTTTTTCAAAGACTCCTTTATGAGGAAGACCTATATAGTTTAAGAGCCATGGCTCGCTCATACCTAGCAAAGTTCAACTTAATGGACTACAGATCTTCATAATTCATGTGTGTTACTTAAAGGGTTACTTTAACCTTTAGCATGTTGTATGTCTTGTCTCTAATTAGAAAATGAACAAGGAAGATGAAAGTTGTGAATTTGGCAAGATGGCATTAGCTATACAGAGGACCACAAGTCTGGCAATAATACTTTAATAGTTGTCTCTCTTCTCTTATCTTCATTACTGCCCTACTTGTTCACATTCTCATCAGTTTTTGCATATGTTGGTATCAGATCATACTAACTAGCCTCCTTACAGCTTGTCTTCTGCTCTAACCACTTATGGATAGCCACTCATAGTTTTCTGGAGGAATTTGGGCGGGCAAAATGGCCTCCTAAGATAAACTTACCCATGAGGTTTGACAGAACTAAATATTCCTGTAATTAGGAACTGAAAAATAAGAGGAAAAAAAAGACCAACTTAATAATCATTTTGGACAATGATGGAAAAGAAGGACATTGGGGCACTAGTTGTGCATTCCACATCTTTTGTTTCTCCATCTTTGGTTCTATAGGGAGAGTTTTCTAACAGTTTGGGTACTCTTTCTGAGACTGATGGATTATAGTGATTGATGATAGTTATAACAATAATGTATTTTCTCTGGTTATTATCGATTGTTGCAGGAATCCAATTTGGGGTTACTTGTTCTTAGACAAGCCCTCGGGATCAGTTTCAGTCTCAAAGCATCATCTGGAAAAATAAAATGTGAGCCAAAGCAGTGCCACTCCAGGTTAGGGCTCAGAACTCTTAGTGCTTCTCATCCCGCCTTCTTCACAGCCCCAGTTGGTTGGGCCTTTCTCCTACTGGTCCTCCTCTCTGTGCTCTCCTACGGTTTCCATTTTCATTATCTGAAATTAAGTATATTCAGTTTAACTCTTGCTTCATCTTTCCTATAAGTACTAATAAAAATACTATTTAAAATAGTTCTTTAACAATTACAGATTTTCTATACCCCTCAAGTAAATATGATAATGTTTTACACTACCCTTGTGAATTTACCTTTATCCCTGTAAATCCCCATGAATTAATCCTCCTATCTACTTTGAAAGCAATCTTTCTAAAATGTTATTTATCATATCCTGATTAAATTCCTTGAAGTCACTAAATTACTGTCAGAATAAAGTCTTGATCCCTTTGGTTGTATGTTGCTTTTGCCTATCTCAACTTATTCTTTTCCCATATATTAACATATACTTTGCTAGGTGCAGAACTGAGAACAAATTGGAAAGGGAGAGAGAAGTGAGGAAAGTGACAAGATTCTGTAGATAAAATAGTGAGATGAGTTTTTGAGATATAATCAACATTTTGATTTGATACAATTATATACGCAGCAAAATGATTACCCCCATAACATGAGCTAAAATCTCCATCATGTGACATAATTACTATTTCTTTTTTGTGGTGAAAACATTTACAATCTACTCTCTTAGCAACTCTCAGGTACATAGTGCAGTATTACCAAATAATCGCCATGCTGTGCATTAGATCCCCTGAATTTATTCATCTCAAAAAAAAGCTGTAGAAAGAAAGAAAAAAAGGAAAGAGAGTGAGAGAGGAAGAGAGAGGGAAGGAAGAAAGTAGGGAGGGAGGAAGAAAGAAAGAAACGGCAGCTATTAAATTAAAAAAAATAGTGAGATGGAAGAAAAGTGGGTAGTTCTGGTAAATCATCATGACGTTAATCAGCAGTGATCATTAGAGTGAGCTACAAATGTTGGCTTGTTTGTACATTCCAGTCCGAAGCCACTGCGTAGAATGCAGGGAAGAATACTTTTAATCATCCTTCTATTCCCATAACAAAGTGTCAAATCTGGTGCATACTTCATACTCAATAAATGAGTAAACGAATGAACAAAGTGGAGTGATAAGGTCAGGAGGAAAAACATGGTAATAAAACTGAGGAGAAGGCAGACCAAAGAGCTGAGAAGTAAAAACAACTAGCCCAAAATACTAATTAAATTACCCCCAAAAAGCCACAAAATAGATTTGGACACAGAATGTAAACTTCTAACATCACATGCTAAAATACCCTGATGTAAACCATGTGGTGGCTTTGCATCACAAACAGGATCTAATCCTGCGACATTTTCCTAGGATAAAAGAAGTTTTTGTGCCATTTTCTTGACAGTTGGAAGAATCCTTTCACTGCTCCTACTCCGTTGTGGGTTTAAATGACTGAAGTCATCCACATTCCTCAGAAAGGCATGGAATTCCATCTCGCTATATTTTGTTCCTACAGGTTTTGGAAGATGCTGCTTTCGTCAGAGTCTTTTGCCCACTGTGGTAGTTTACATCCTGCTCCTGAATTCCTGCTTTCTCACCAGCTGTTTTAGTGAGTTCTGTGAGATGACTACTTTTGGGCTGTCTCTCCTTCACCCGACCTTTTCCCTACTCACTACCCAAAATAACTATTTTGAGGTCAATAGAACATGTGAAAATAATTTTGGAAGTCTCATGGAAAAAATACGGATATATAAACATAGTGTATTTTTGTAACTGGAAAAAGTTAATAAAGATTTGAAAAATACAGAAATCAGAGAGAATTAGACAAAATAAAACATAGGTAATATTAACACCCAGAGAAAAACACACCTCAGAATTTGAAATACCAATTTGTGGTATATTTTTATATGAATATACAATATTTGAGAGAAAGTTAATATTATACTATACTACAAGTTACTATCTGTATAGTTCTTTAACATTTTTATTACATCACATATTCACCTATGATACACAGTTTTATTGACGGTGAATGTTTCCATCACCTGGAAATACTCGAATGATTTAAATAAGACTCTACAGGTGATTATTGAAGTTCTTTCATTAAATTTTATATTTTAATAATCTTGCAAATACGTTATATTTCATAGATCTGACACAGTATCATTAAACAGTAATTATCTAACATGATACAGAAATTATCATTTTTATATGCTTTTCATATTTTCTATAATTTTAATTAATGCCAAAGTTACAGCCTGAATGTATTGTATTGTTTTAAGTGAACATTTTAAATGCTTTTGAGATTGAATCATGATATTAAAATGCTTATTTTAATTAAATTTTTAGTTTTTTCATGTATTTTTAATATTTCTATTTAACATTAGAATAGTATGAAAACAGTATTTCTTCTCATCATATATGTTTCAAATATTTTCCACTCATTTATTTGCTTTTTAAATTGCTTTAAATTCCTTTCTGCTGAATATAATATTTGATTAGACAAAAATGTCCATAACATATATACAATTTATTAACCCACAATGCACCAAATGCACAAAAACCCACCATTCAAACAGGAAACTGGATCTTTGCCAACCTCTTTTTTCTACCAGTTTCCTTCCTCTCTTCACTCTATCTGCCACCACCTCTAGAGGTTACTTCTATCCTGAATGGTGTATTTCTCATTATCTTGCTTACTAATATACTACACATAGATATATTTATAAGTAAATAATGTGTTGTTTAGTTTTGCTTGTCTTAAGCTTTATAAAATATCAAACTGCATTTAGTGTTCTGGGATTACTTTTATTTTTCAATATTATATTTCTAAGTTTCATCTCTGTTGTTACAATAGCTATAGTTAATTTAGTCTTCAGTCACGTAAGTTTACTTCACTCACAATATTCTCTTGTATAAGTAAAAATTCCCAATGAATTTATCTATTATCCTGTCAACAGTCGCTTGGATTGTTTATTACTATTATCAAATGTGCTGGTATAAATATTCTTGTACTACATATCTCTGGTGCATATTTTTAGGAGTTTATCTAAGATCTACAGGTAGTAGTGACATTGCCAGATGCTAGGATGCACGTCTTCAACCTTTCCAAGTAGGATGACTTCCACCCACAATGTATGTGTTTCCTATGATCCAAATCCTCTCTAACATTGAAATATTCAGAGGGCTTTGTTTTGCTAAACTAGAGAGTATAAAGCTATATCATGTTATCTTAATTTTCAGTCTCTAAAATGTTAAAGAGTTTCAGATCTCTTTATGTATTAATGGTCAGGTCTTTTGTTTCCTTCTGTGAAGTGTCTGTTCAAGTCATTTGCTCACTTTGTATGTTTTTATAAATATATGTATTTTTTAAATATAATATAAATACTAATCCATAGTCATAATTTATGTTGTAGATATATTCTCCAAGTTTGGACTTGTCTGTTCGCTTTTTAAATGATGTCTTTTGAAGAGCAGAAGTTCTTAATTAAAGAATCATTTTACTTAATAATTAGTACTCTTTGCATCTTGTTTAAAGAAAAGCTTATTTACCCAAGGTCAAAATGAATATTGCTTTTTACCCTCTAAATGTCATAAGGTGTTGTTTTTCACATATCTGCAAAGATCCAAATTAGATTTTCTAATGCATGAAATAAGACACTAATTTAATTTAATTTCTTCCAAGTAGATAATCTATTTTCCTAGCACAATTTATTGTAGACACTCTTTTTCATGCTAATTTGAATCACTGTCTGTACCCTATATCGTAGTATATGTTGTGTGAAACTCTTTGAAGACAGTCTATTTTCTTCCAATTAGTTGTTGTCTAATTCTACACCGATATCCCACTGTTTTAATTACTCTAGTTTTCTAATATATACTAGACTAGTTTTTATATATACTAGACCATGTACACCAAATTAATTTCATTTGCATATAATTCTTTATAACAGTCCCTTATGATCCTTTTTATTTCTGAGGCATCCATTGTAATGTCTCCTCTGTCATTTCCAAGTTTATTTATTTAATTTTTCTCCCTTTTTTCCCTGTCTAGCTAAGGGTTTGTCAATTTTGCTTATTTTTTTTAAAAAGCCAACTCTTAGTTTTGTTGACTTTTTCTATTGTTTTTCTATTCTCTATTTGATTTATTTCTGCTTTGATCTTTTTATTTCGTTTCTTCTGCTAACTTTGGTTTTAATTTGTTCTTCTTTTTCTAGTTGTAAATGTAAAATTAGGTTGCTTATTTGAGATCTTTCTTCTTTTTTTAATTTAGGCATTTGTCTGTATAAGTTTCCTTTTTAGTATTTCTTTTGCTGCATCATGTAAGGTTTAGTAAGTTGTATGTTCATTTTTATTTGTCTCAAGATATTTGTTAAATTCCCTGTCAATTTCCCCTTTGACCCAATGGTTGCTTAAGAGCGTGTTATTTAGTTTCCACATATTTATGAGTTTTCCTGTTTTCTTACTATTGTTGATTTCTAGTATCATTCCATTGTAGTTGGAAAAGATACTTGGTATGATTTCTATCCTTTTAAATTTGTTAAGACTTGTTTTGTGACATAACATTTGATCTATCCTGGAAAATGTTCCATGTGCACTTGAGAAGAATTTGTATTTTTCTGCTGTTGGGTTAAACGTTTTGTATACATAGTATGTTAGGTACATTTGGTCTAGGGTGTTTTTCAAGTCCACTGTTTCTTTACTGATTTTCTGTTTGCATGTTCTATCCTTTATTGAAAGTGGGGTATTGAAGCCTCCTATTATTATTGTGTTGCTGTCTATTTCTCCTTTCAGCTTTGTCAAGATTTCTTTTATATATTTAGGTACTCTGATTTGGGGTGCATATGTATTTACAATTATTATATCTTTCTGTTGAATTCATCTTTTGATCATTATTTAATGACCTTCTTTTTCTCTAGATACAGTTTTTAACTTAAAGTCTACTTTATCTGATTTAAGTATAGCCACTCTTGCTTTCTTTGGGTTATCATTTGCATGGAATATCTTTTTCCATTCCTTCACTTTAAGTCTACATGTGTCCTTGAATCTAAAGGGAGTTTCTCATAGACAGCATATAGTTGGAACTAAGTTTCATATCCATTAAGCCACTCTCTATCTTTTTATTGGGAAGTTTAGTCCATTTACATTTAAAATAATTATTGATAAGGGAATGTTTACTGTTGACATTTTGTTAATTGCTTTCTGTTTGTCTTGTAGTTCTTTTGTCTCTCTTCTTTTCTCTTTCTGTCTTCCTTTGTGCTTCTTTTTTTATGTATTGATAGGTTTTGATTCCTTTCTCTTTTTCCTTTATGTAACTTCTATAGGTATTTTCTCTAAGGTTACCAAAGCACTGACATAAAATACCTTAAGTTATACCAGTCTATTTTAAGCTGATATCAACTTAACTTCACTTGGACACAAGAACTCTCATTTTTCCTCTCTTCTTTCCACTTTATATGCTATTGATGTCACAATTACATCTATTTATGTTATGTATCCATTAACATAACCTAGTTATAGTTGTTTTTAATACTTTATCTCTTAATTTTTGTAGTAGAATTAAAAGAGGTTTACCCACCACTCTTATAGTAATACAATATTCTGCTTTGTCCATATATATGCCTCTACCAATGAGTTTCATCCTTTTTTATGCTCTCATGTTACTGTTTAGCAGTCTTCTTTTTAACTTGAAGATCTTCCTTTATAATTCTTGTAAGACAAGTCTATGGTGATAAACTTTCTCAGCTTTCGTTTGTCTGAGAAAGTCTTTTTCTGAAGTCCTCTTCATTTTTGAAGGATAGGTTTGCTGGGTATAATATTCTTCATTAGCACTTTGAATATGTCATCCTACTCCCTTCTGGCCTGCAAGATTTCTGCTGAAAAAAAAACCACTAATAGTTCTATGGGGATTCCTTTGTACATAACAAGTCACTTTTCTATTGCTGCTTTCAAAATTCTCCCTTTGTCTTTAACTTTTGACAATTTAATTATAATGTGTCCCAGTGTGGGTCTCTTTGAATTCATATTATGCGGTGTTCTTTTCACTTCCTGCATCTAGATATCTATTTCTCACCCCAGGTTTGGGAAGTTTTCAGCCATTATTTCTTTGAATAAGATTTCTGCCCCTTTTTCGCTCTCTTCTCCTTCTGGAACTCCCATAATGCATATTTGGTCCACTTATGATGTCCCCTAAGCTATGTTCACTCTTTTATATCTTTTTTTCTTTTTGTTCCTCTGATTGCATGATTGCCAATGACTTGTCTTTGAATTTGCTAATCTTTCCTTCTGATTGATCTAGTCTGCTGTTAAACTTTGCTACTGAATTTTTCAGTTCACTTATGTATTCTTCAGCTTTATAATTTCTATTTGGTACTTTTTACATTTTCTGTCACTTTCTTAAAAACTCACTTTATTCATACATTCTCTCTTGATCTCAGTGAGTGATCTTATGACCCTATTTTGAATTTCCTGTCAGATAAATCACTTATCTCTGTTTCTGGAGATTTATCTTGTTCTTCTTTTGGAACATGTTTCCATGTTACTTCATTTTACCTGACTCTCCATGTACATTTCTCTGCATTAGATGAAACAGCCACCTTTCCCAGTCGTGAGAGACTGGCCTTGTTTAGGAGATAAATGTCACCAATTAGCCCAGCCAGATATTCTGGGTGCCTCTCAAACCTTTGTGCTTGTCAAACTGCCATCTTTGATCTTATTGACCCCAACAGATTAGAGTTTGTTCAGTCCCATTGATGTCCTGAAGGCAAAGGAAGTGCCCATAGGCCCTTCATGCTCTGGAGGAGTACTAATTGCCTGCTCTATCAACTCCAAGCTACAGGCTAATTGGAAGCCCAACCTTCAGACAGAGGCTGGGAAAGTCAGGACAGTAGACATTCAGTCTAGCCCTTTCAGGGAGAAATATGGATGTGGGTAGGTTTGCCTACTGGCCCTGTGCTGAGTCATGGGAAATATCCACTGGAAGTGCTTATACAACCATTTAAAACCACTTCTTTCTTCTCTTTGTTTCAGAAGGATTTGAAAATGTTCTATGTGTCTCTCTCTTCCTTTTTCCTTCCCCTCTCTTTCTTCCTCTTTATCGCTTGTCTTTCTCCCTTTTCCTCACTTACTCTATCACAGTCCCTCACCACCATCATAGTCATGAAATTCATCACCATAATGTTTCATATTGCAAACTCATGGTTGCTTTAATCTTCTCTTTCCTCAAATCAGTTTGCCAATTAAATTCTAATGTCCGCTACTCAAAAATTTTGCTTGCAAATAGACTTGGGTTAAGGCTAACTCTACTTGGTCTCATGGCTTCAATGACGAAATTGTCCAAGTCATTCTTTGTTTTTTGATTTCAAATTTTCAAGGCAAGGAATATGAATAGTCACTGGTCATCCAAAGGACTGACTCTTCCTGAGGTAGCTGTCTGTTCCAATAACTGTGACTAGGGTAGGTAGTGTAACTTACTACAATCATGGATAACTAAGTCTTCTCCCACAAGGCTTATTTTAGTATGTATTTAAAATATTTGGAGCTAGAAATATCCAAAAGTATTTAATGCTATAGATTTTATTGAGTTGGTTGTAAATGTGAAGATTATTGTGTCAACCGTACAAGATGTTTGCAATTATTAAGTTAAATAATGTAAAATATCTTTTGCAGACATGTGAAATATAATCCTCAGGTATAGATAACTTTGAAACTGACTAGCTAAAGTACTTTCTTGTCATCTTGCTGTGCAAAAGAAAACGTTTCCTTTACTATGGTTTATATTGATGGGAATATCACCAAAAGGAAAATTTCCTTCCTACTCTTGTTACTTTCGCTTTAGAATGCAAAATGAGATCGTGCTGTAAAGTGATCTTTAATTTTCTACAGGGAAAAATCCAAGATCATATTTTCATCAAAGCTTTTAACCTCAAATTTCCTCATTTTTTCTAATAACATCATGCAGACTAAATTATCATTATTAGTCTCATCTACTTATATCATTTCTGCTTTCTAGCCTTTGCCACCTCAAATTTGTGTCTCTGTCTTTCTTGCAGATGGAACAGGTCTGGAGTTGAGGCTGACTGGTGGAGACAGTAACTGCTCTGGAAGAGTAGAGGTGAAATTCCATGAAGAGTGGGGGACCGTGTGTGATGATGGTTGGACTACTGCTGAAATAATTGTTGTGTGCAAACAGCTAGGATGTCCATTTTTTATCACCAAATTTGGTCTCGGAAATGCCATGGCTGGACGTGGAAAAATTTGGCTTGATGATGTTTCCTGTTATGGGAATGAATCAGCTCTCTGGGAGTGCCAACACAAGGAATGGGGAAACCATGACTGTAGTCATAGAGAGGATGTTGGTGTAAGCTGTTATGGTAAGAGTCTAACCAGAGTAAGAAGATAAGGTGAGGTAAGGTAAGATCTATCCTCAGGAAGCATTTTCTGGGAGCTGGAGATTTCTATTCAGACTTTAACAATGTCTCTCTGGAAGATGTAAAGAGGTATATTCTACCCTTTTTCTTTCTTCCAAAGTAATGTCTAATTATTGTTCTTTTTTTATAACTACAACTGAGATTAGATAGAAATGAAAAAGGGGCAGACACAGAGAAAGAGCATGCACACTGCAGTTACCAATGTAATTTCTGCTTTATAAAATCTTATTCCCTCTTAACAGAATAAATTTCAACTTAGCATTTTCACTTTGTACTCTCTATCTTGTTGCTGTTTATAATTTCATTTTTATATTTTCACATATTCATTTCTTTGTTTGAAATGATGTATGTAAATTTTTTAGTACATCTTAAGAACTGAAAATATGAGCTCATGTATCCCATCCTTCTTTTCTGCTCCACTCCCACTTAAGTGCTCCCACTAAATTATGAGCTTTATTAGGACAGAAAAAGTAGGTCTTATTTTTTTTTATTTGTATTATTCTTTATATTCATGCAGAAAACATAATTCTAGGGAATAGTACACTGCTGACTTTAGCTGAATTTAATTGTTACATCCTTGAAATTTCACTTTTGGGTGAAATCCAGGAGAAAGACACAATTACTTGAAAATCTTGGGTAGTGGCACTTTCAAACTCAGTATATATCTTTTTGTTTTACACATTCTTGTGTTCTCTAATAAGTTGTATATGAAGAGCAAGATCCAATGATTCATTCTTTTCTTTAACATATACTGACTGCCTATTTTATAAAATATCAAACATAAGCAACTGCCAGTGTTTGATGAGGTTTGGGCACAACAGAGTTGGGAAAACAGAGTTGTTTTCATTTTTAATTTAATTTCATTCAACACTAATTTAATGCTTAATATATATTTAATACTATGCATTATTTAAATAGACACTCAGTAAGTTGTCAGACATAGTTATGGACATGGGCATGATGAGACCTTAACAATGTTCCATGATTCAAAAATCTGTGAGCGTCATTACACTACTTTCTCTTTGGCTCAACCATTTTGCTGTCATTTTGGCTACTATATACTATACTAAAGTAACAATATTCAAATTTAATTTAAATGTTATTTCAAGTAATCCTGGCTAAATTTAAGTACTCTTTTAGTCATTTTATAAATTACATTCATAACCTTAGGAATAGCTTTGATTTAAATGTCTTTTCTCATGTGCTGAAAACACTGAAAGAAAAAATATTTTGTGAAGAACACAATATAGAATAAAATCAAAAAAATAAAGAAGACCGTGCTAATGATTGGGTTTTCACCCTAGGATGCTTCTTTGCCCGTGTATTCATGTTTCCGGAAAAGTCTCCTACACTGTCCCCTTTAAATATTTTTTAATAGACTTCTTTTTGTTCTTGGTAACTTCCTTGATAACAGGGCTATCTTCTAAGGATCCTTTTGATTTCATTTCAGACTCAAATTGGGCCCATTTCTGACATGTCTGTTTTTCTTATAGGTAAAGACAACCTGGGTTTGAGGTTGGTGGATGGAAGCAGCCCCTGTTCAGGGAGACTGGAGGTGAAATACCAAGGACAGTGGGGGACTGTATGTGATGATGGTTGGGACTTGAATGCTGCTGCTGTGGTATGCAGGCAACTGGGATGTCCATCTGCTTTCTTTTTTTCTGGACTTGTTAATAGCCCTGCTACATATAGCCCCATTTGGCTGGATAATATTTCCTGTAATGGCAATGAGTCAGCACTCTGGGATTGTGGTCACCGTGAATGGGGGATACATGACTGCCATCATAATGAGGATGCCACATTGACTTGTTCTGGTAAGATCGCAAGACATCATGTGGAAGAAAGGAACAATTTGTTTGGAAAGAATATGTATGGAAGGAGAAAGGCCAATTATTTCCTGGATAAGAATTTTCTCTGGTTATAAGAAACTTCTGTTACTCTTGAAATTACTCTATTCTGGATTTATCCTAAATGCTTTTTCAAAACTGTTCTTCCTAATAAGTCCAAAGTACACTTGTAGTTTTAATATTTCTTCATCACTTTGCACCATTCCACATGCTGAACAGTCCCTTCTCCTTAAAACCTTTTTCAATGTATTTCTTGACACACACTATAGTTTTTCCTTCTTTCTCTATGGTCTCTCATTCTTAGTCTTGTTTTACCGCTTCTCTTCTCTTTCCAACTACCAAAACTTGGATTTCATCAGGACTAGGCCCCTGATCTTCTCACTTTAAACTCTCTCCCTCAGCAATCACGTCTACTTTCATAGCTTCAGCTTAACCCATCTCAATTAAAATTTCAGGCCAGATGCCTCTTTAAGAGCTCTAGATACATATATCCATCTGCCTATGATATGTCCAAAATACATCTGAACCTTAACATTTCCAAAAGTAAACTTATTATTCTCTCTCTACTTTTCTTCTAATCTTCCTAAACTCAGTAAATGACACACTCTCCCACTCAATTGCTCAAGTCATAAATCTAGGGGATCATCTTTAAGTCCGTTTTTTAATCTGTTAGCACCATACATTCATTACATCATCAGACTGAAATGATATATTTAGAACTGCAGGAAGCTACAAAGTTCTTTAATTTCTAAATTTTCTGTCTTCCAATGTCGACAGAGTTCTTCCTACCCAAAGTGGATAATAATCTGAAAGAACCAAAAGTCTTGGAGTAGTTCAAAGTCAAGGAGAATATTTAGATCCTACTATGAAGTCCTTAGAATTCCCCCATTCTCTCTTCTACAAACATCCATACATTTATAAACTCTGATGAGTGCTTTGAAAGAAAGGTACAGAGTGTTATAAGATTACTTAATAAGATTACTGACTCAGTACAGGCATTCAGAATTGGCTTCACTGAGTCCTGAAATATGAGAAGCAATGTTTCCAGGAGAAGCATTTCAGGCAAAGGGGCGAGCACAATGCTCTTAAACTAGGAAAGAACTTGGTGGCTTCCGAGAATAGAAAGAACACTGGTGTGGCTAGAGCTTAATGAGCAAGTTGAATGGTAGTTGATGGGCTGAGGGTTGGAGCAAGAGACTGGGGAGCTTTGTTAAGAGTTTTAAACTTTATCCTAAATGCCGAGGATATTCTTGGGAGAACTTTATACAGATAATTAGTTTTGAAAAGATCTGATTATTAAAGTATGTGGACTAACTGAATGGAGAGTAACTTGATGGGAGCCAAGCTTGGATGCAAAGAAACAAGAAATTCTTTAAGGAGTCACGATAAAAGATCATGGTGGTTTGGACTAGGGCTATACCAGTAAGATAAAGATAAGTGGATGGGTTTGAATTATATTTACAATGTAGAATTAACTGCACCAGGAAATGTAGATATAAAGATGAAAGAGAAAGAAGAGTAAGAATTCTTCCCAAATTTCTTATGTATGCAATCAGGTGGCTAGTGGTACCATTTGCAAGAAAGATGATGATTTCTGTGTTAGAACATTTCTTAGGTACTTGGGAAATATACAGGTAGATATTCACACTGAGAATTCTCAGAAGAAAGGTATGAACTAGAGATATAAATTGGAAGGTGTCAGCATATCGGTAGTGCTTGAGGCCTTTAAAATTGATAAATTGTTGGGTGGTTTCAAAGGAATTGAAATAGATATATTTTCTTGGTTTGCAAATTTACTATGAAGGCAAATCCCAAGGAGATTCATAAAATATTTTTTGTAATTGCAATATTGTCTACCACATGAACATTTTGTTTAGATTTTTTAAATGCCATGTTTCCTAAAAATTCTATCATTTAACCCAGAATGTCTTTTAATTGTTAAATAGTTTAAAAATATATTTCTCTTCAGGACAAAATGAGGACGTTCAAAGCGCCAGATTACAATTTCAAATATGAGATAATAATACCCTTTATTTTACATAGATTTTTTGTGTTTATTAAACATTACTAAAAATATATCTTCTGATTATGTTTAATAATTTTGGCATATAACACAATATTTTATATATAATCAAATTTTTAAAATTCTGCTTCTGTAGAAGACATGCAGAATATAATTTATTATTCACATTTTACTTTGGGTCCACATGCTTATGGACCCAATGATTTGACCAGATTACTTAAATTTGCCAACATCTTCTGGCTACCTACAATCTGTGAAAGGGATATCAGCAGCAGAATTAGCAACTGTTGATTTTATAGTTTCACTACATTTAAGTGACCTCAAATGCCCCAAAAATGTAAAATAGTATATCAAACTCTTGCCAAAATTTTGAGAAATGAGCTATTCCACTCAGGCAGGTATATTATTCAGGCCTTATTCACTACTAAATTTGTAATAGAATGACACAGAAATAAAGTTCCAAATTATTGTTTTGCAGTTAGAAATATAACTACCAAGTAGATCAGAATGTATTTGATGGCTGGTCAGAATATACATTATAGGAAAATTGATACAGAAATTTATTACGTAACTGTATAATATGTTGAGTGAGAATTAACTAAAAGAAGCTAGGGAAGTAAGTTATAATTAATGATTAACCACTATCATTAAACATAGACAATTTGAAACATCTACAACTTGGAAATATACCTGCTTGAGCGGAAGGGACTGTCATGTTTGCTGAACAAGACTCACACCTGCTAAGCCTGACATTGTCAAAGTCTTGCTACCCGGCTTGCTTTTATCTTGATAACAGGCTGATAATATACTTTTTTCTGTGATCTCCATCTTTTTAGTAAAAAACAACCATACTCTAAATTCTCCATATAATATGAAATAGTACTTTTCTTTTATACCATAATTTAGCCTTTCCCTTTTGAGACTAAAAGCATATCATTGTGATTAGGTTTGCATGGTTCTAAAACATTTTAATTATGCATATACAAATGAGGAACCTTTCATTCCATGAAAATTTTATTATGTCCATTTCAAATAGCTCTTTGTGGAGAGCTTGCTTCAACCCTATTTTTCTCCATTGACTGAGGATCATATCATGAAAAGTTTTTAAATTACTTATGTGATTTTGGTACCTGTAAAATACAGCATTTGAGGGCATCCACAGATATTTCCTCAAATCCATTTCCTGGGGGTGTCTGTTTTCCTCCCGGGTACAATAAATCTTAAATGTGTCAGCCAAAAGATTTATGTTGCTTAAGTGAATGAGTACATCATTTGTGTGAATTCTCTTTTTTCTGGAACTGAAAGAACAGTTGTTTTAGTAAAATGAATTGCGAGGACAATATTTTGACATTAGAGCCATGAGTCTTGAGTCAAGAAGAAATATCCTATGGAAATGAAAGATGCTTTCAGAACCAGGAAGGCTGATTTTCCTTAATCTCATTTACGACCTACACCTCCATCTCTTTTGCAGATGGAAAGGATCTGTAGTTAAAGACGGTGAGTGGAAGCAAAGAATGCAAAGGATTGGTAAACGTCAAAGTCCAGGATCAGTGAGAAACTGTGTCATCAGAACTGGGTTGTTAATAATGTTACTATTGTTTGTAATCAACTGGATTGCCCCACTGTCATCAAGACAAATTTTCATCCTAATGGTGTTTCATCCAAGAAAATCTGGATTTATCACTTATCTTGCTTTTGAAATGAGTCAGCTCTCTGGGGATGCATACACCATGAATGGGGAATAATAATTGTAATCATAAGTAGGCTACTGGGGTGATCTGTTCTGGCAATCTGGTAATACTTTCAACCCATGGAAACCAAAAAAAAGGAAATATGTGTTCAAATTTATCATAATTGTTTATTCTTTAAAAGAGGAAACTAGCAATATCACCCTTAGAATTAATCTCAGGATTTTAGGCTGTTCTGGTTTCTTTTTAACATCTGGAAAGTATTGTTCCATATTATATGGTTTTCATTTTTTCTGTTGAAAAGTGAGCTGTCCTTATTGAATTTTCATCGAAGGTAATCTGTCTTTTTATGTCTCTGGATGCTTTCAAAGTTTTTTTCTATGTCTTTAGTTTCCAATAATTATACCATTATGTGCCTAGACATGGTGTTGTTGTTGTTGTTGTTGTTGTTGTTGTTTTTGTTCTGCTTGGAGTTCAGTGGTGCCTCTTGAATTTTTGGCTATATTTGGAAAGTCTTCTTCATTTTTAGAAAATTCTTAATCATTGTATTTTCAAATATTTCTTCTGCTGAATTCTCTATCTTTTCACTTTCTTGGACTCCAATTACACATATATTAGTTCTTCTTACTCCATCCTCTATGCCTGTTGAAGTATTTTTTATGTATTTTATATACTTTTGACTCTTTCTCTTTGATTCTGTGCGTATCCTACACTACACTAATACTTTATTTTTCTGTGATAAATTTGCTGTTAAACTCATATATTGTGTTCTTAATTTAGTGATTATGTTTTTCAATTCTAGAATCTCTGTTAGGTTTCTTTTATGTTTTTTGTTTCTCTGCCAAAATTCCCAGTCGTGCCTTTTATTTTGTTGGACATATTAAGGATGGTCATATAAAGTCTGTTTCTGGTAATTCAATTACATATACCTCCTGTTGATCTGTGTCTTTTGCTTCTCCTGGTTTTAGAGTATGTTGTCTTCTGATATCTTTATTATTTATGAGACAGTGATAAACATGGTTTACGAAAAATTATAAAGACAATTGGAGGTCTAGGATAATTTTAAGTTTTTGGCTGAAGGAAATCTCGGAATACCTTAATCCAATCACAGCTAGAGAACATTTGAATACAGGCTTAAGTTCCTACAAAGGCTGGTCTGTTCCTACTCCTTACTCCTAGGAATGTACCCTTTGGGATACCTTCCCAAAGTCTGTGGGTTTACTGAGGTTTCTCCTTCTTGATGGGTTCTGAATTCAGGAAGATTTTACATAAATGGGTATATAAAGATAAAACTTGCCTTATGAGGGGGTTTTGCATATACTTAAAAGTATTTACAAATGATAGATACTTGAAAGAAAAACATAAGTTCCTTTCTTATGTCTACTGAAGAACCATATTTTGAGTTAATATTCCTTATCTAACTCCATGACTATAGAGGCAGAGGCTATTTCTTCTAAAACATATGATACTAGGACAATTCCTTCTTGAGAAAATGCTAATTTTAACTGTAGGCTTATAAACCTACTATATGGCTTCAATAAAACATCTGTTTTTTAATATTCTATGATAATCCCATCATCCACTGAGGTCATATACACATGCAGTAGCAGTGATAAGGATGGTCCTTCTTTCTTTATTTTTTTAAAAAATGTTTTTACCTTTGGATGAATGATAGGATGCCTATTTCCTTAAACAATTCTTGGGTTAGGAAAATATAATTTAATTTATTTAACTGAGATAAATGGGGACAAAAAGCAATTAGAGAGAGAGGATGTATTCTTGGCAGATGGAGGCAAAGACTGAGAGAAGGCCAGGAAATGAAATTCTTCTTCTGAATAATTAGAAATCTTCATAGCTAACATCAGATCTCTTCATAACTGTTAACAAAAACTCCAACAGTTTAGACTAAGGATTGAAATCAGTTCCATTTAAGAAGGCATTTTAATATCTGAATAAATGGCTGTGGCCAAAAAGGGATAAGATCTTTAATTAGATAGTTAATCTACACCTATGTTTACCAACAAATATATTTCTATCACAGTGGGTGAAGATGGACTCAGAATATGTGGTAGCTTTGCAATTTTTCTATCTTTACATCTGTTTATTTCAAGGCTCTTCACTAAGGTAACGTTGTAGTTGTGTTGATTCTAAGGAATGTGGTGATATGTTGTTTCAAATAATACATTAGAGAGAATGCATGCAGAATAGAAGCAAGAGAAAATTATGTGATATTTAAATTAGTGTCTAAAGATATCTTTCTATCTCTTCATTTCATAACTAGAAGTGACCACTGTAGATTTACTTAATGTTAAGATTCCTTTGCATATATATAACAAGAACACAGAGAAAGAGCATTTTGAATAGAGAATTTGGATTAAATCAACAAAGTACTGTAACAAAATGACAAGATGATAATTTACTGCTGGTCACACTTGCTTTCACCTTTGGAAGCTTTATTAGTCATTGGTATCTTTCAAGAGAATAAATCTAAATAAGATGAACTGTTAGAAGCTGTGTTACAAGAAATTGGACTTAAATGCTTGTTTAAATGAAGACTAATGACAATATTGAAATGGGTGAGATGATGATGATATCTCATCCCACTGCCTTTATTTAACACAATTGTAAGTTCTATTATATCCTCTGGCTAGGCGGAGAAGGCAGAGGATGAGAAGATCTCTGTTTCAAGAACAAATGGGCATGATTCTTGGCCCATAATTAGTTGATTCTTACCTCACAATCAGAAAGGGTATTTCCACTCTCTATTGTGCTTAATTCCCCAAACAACAGAGATTGTGGTATATTGTCAATATCATACTGTGATCCCTTCCCGGGAAAAAAAATTCTACTACATTAAACTTGTACAGGGATTTGAAAAGGCAAGGACTAGACATCCATTGAATCTCAAATCAAATTACAATATATTTGTGCTTATTTGGGGAAACAAGATTTGGAGTCTGAAGTGTCTGATCAAAACTTCACTTGAGATTTTTGTTTGTATCTCTGTTTCAGATGGTACTGATCTAGAACTGAGGCTTGTGGGTGGAAGTAACCGCTGTGCTGGGAGAGTAGAGTTGAAAGTACAAGGAAAGTGGGGAACCATATGCCACCATAACTGGAACAATGTTGCTGCTAACGTAGTATGCAAGCAGTTGGGGTGTGGAACAGCACTTCATTTCCCTGGCTTGCCTCATTTTGAATCAGGGTCTGGTACTATATGGCTTGATGATGTCTCCTGCTCTGGTAATGAATCTCTTCTTTGGGACTGCAGACATTCTGGAAGGGTACATTATAATTGTATTCATCAGAAGGATGTGGCTGTGATCTGCTCAGGTAAGACTTACATTTCTATGGTACGTCAGATAAAATATCTCTTTTGGAGAAACAGGAACAAGCCCTGAAGTTACAACCAATTGTGTATGTAGGAATTGACATTTTTCATTTTTCCTCAGGGGATGTTTCTATACCTTCTAGCATATTACATTGTAAATCTCCTATCTTGGGAATGAGGTTTATAATCTCTGACACCATTTTACTTAATTCTGATTGATGCAACAAAATATCCAATCTAGTCAAAATTATTATTAGTCTTCACAAATGCATGATTTATTAATATTCAGTAAAAGTTTTTAAATGTGTACTCTAATTACTTGGTATGTTCAGAGACACACAATATTTTTTTATAATGTCAAAATTAGGCTTATTTTAGCACTTCTTTTCACTAAAATAAACTATTTTCAAACAGTATCTAAAACTTTATGACGTCTTAATTACTTCATACTTTACACTAGTAAAGTTTTTGTCTGTAGCCATTCATTTTCTAGTTTTGAATTCTCATCTACAAGCAATTTTCGCCTTGTTGTTTACTTATAGCTTTGTATGACCAGGGCTTGAAATATTCCCTAGCATTTATCTCACAACAGTGTTCTATGTTCAAAGATGTAAGAAAACCTGTCCACTCTCTTAGTAAAAGTAAATCTACACCTTCTAATATCCTTATGAAAGAAGAATCTCTAGATATAGAGTCAATTATTTTCGTCTGAAAGTCTCTTTTGTCATGATGGAAGGGGTTTCTTTAGTAAATTATTTTCTTTAGTAGCTGACGCTACTCCACTTGTCTGACACACAAGATGCCTTCATCTAATTTCCTGTAGAGTTTGAGATCAGGCCATAGATTTTAAATAGAGTTTTGCTTAAGTCTAGAAGTGCAGGGAAATGTGCACATAGGAAAACACATATAGGCAGTGAGATTTATTGATTACTGTAGCTCTCCATTCCATCCTCAAAGGACATTTGAGAATGAGACTATATTTAGGAAGTCTTTTCACTTTATTTTTTCTTTTTACACTAGTTTGCTTGCAAGTTTTGTCTGGGGACCAACCACTTCCACCCTGCAAAAGAAGAGTTTCCCAAAATATAGTTAACTAATCCATCACTTATTACATAAATGGACAGACTAGAAAGGGAAAGAAAAACTTGGGGAAGAGAGGAGAGAGACATGAGAAGATGAGATGAAAGGAGAGAGGGAAGGAGAAGGAAAGAGAGAGAATTTCAATCATTTTGATTAAACATAAACTTTCTTACAATATTCAAAATTGAATGCACAGTAGTGCACTTCTGACATAATATCCCTAATTGTGAGAACATTTGCATTTCAAATTCTGGAATCTCTAGAATTGTGTGCTTCTGAAAGAGTAAGGGAAAGCCATAAAGGAAGTTATGTGAAAATAAAATTAGAAAAGAGTCCCAATAATGAGGACAGACACACTGCCAACCATGCGAAGATGGGTAACTACGTACGTTCGTCTTCTCCTCAGCCCCACAGTCATAGGGACTTTTTTACCAAACAGATATAGTCTGTAGTTTAGAATCTGTCATTTGATAATTATGTGACTTTGTATAAATCAGCCTCTAAGCTGCCGGTTTCTCATATTGTAGACAGGACAACAACGTTAAGTAAAATAGTGCAAGGAAAGTACCCAAAATGTGTCTGGAAATCAGGAAGGTCTGGTAACTACAACAAATATATTTTATAAAGGAAGTTTTGTTTCTTCATAGAAAACATAGTATGAGAAAGAATATGTTTCCCTTTAAATCCAAGTAAAAGTTTTTCCTAATGCTGCATTCGTTTTGTACTTTTTCCTCCTGAAGTTACTGAAATAGGATATTTCCCAACACTCTCTTCATTTTATTTTACTCAGTTAAAAATAATTAATCTAGTATTGTGAAAATTAATATAATTTATAATAAAATAGGATTCTAAGGCTTTCCATTGTGACGCGTAGTTTCTTAAATTTTAGCCAAGGTTAAAGCAAGGTTCTCTTAGGTTTATGATTTCAATTTTCATGTCGAAGAGAGGATTGTTTCCAAAAAGGCAGACATACATTTCCATATTGAAGAATTTTTGTTAAAATTCTAGAAAAAATGCATTCTCATGTTTCATTTTTCTCAGCATATGAAAGATACATCTTATCTTCACACGGTGGGGCTAGGGGGTGAAGCAAGCTGATGATCCTGTCCCAAACACGACCGAGATATTTCTCTGCCATTTTGTTCTAGATGGAGCAGATTTGGACCTGCGATTGGTGGATGGAAGAAGCAATTGTTCAGGGAGAGTAGAGGTGAGAATCCATGGACAGTGGTGGACAATATGTGGCTATGACTGGAGTAACAAACAAGCCACTGTGGTTTGTAAACAGCTAGGATGTCCAACTGATATCACTGGCAGTCTCTATGCTAAATCCAGTAGTGAATCTAAGGAAATTTGGATAAACAGCATATCTTGTACTGGAAATGAATCAGCTCTCTGGGACTGTGTGTATGATGGAAAAGCAAAGCAAGCATGTGTCCGAAGATCAGATGCTGGTGTAATCTGTTCTGGTAAGGTTCAAAGATCACGAGAGTATACGATTTCGAATTCTCAGGTATAATTTGTTGGGAGGTGTAAACACTTGATATCTTGGAGGGAGGCTTTTTTGGATCTTACAAAATACCCTAACATGGGGCTGGCCCCATGGTCAAGTGGTTAAAGTTCCAAGCTCTCTAATACCACTGCCTAGGTTCACTGTTTCAGATCCTGGTGTGGACATACTCCACTCATCAGCCATGCTGTGGAGGCATCCTACATACAAAGTAGAAGAAGATTGGCATAGACGTTAGCTCAGGGTTCATCTTTCTCCAGCAAAAGAAGAGGAGGATTGGCAATGGATGTTAGCTCAGGGTGAATCTTTCTCACACACACACACAAAAAATACCCTCAAACTGCAGGAAAAAATTTGTCTTATAGCTTTCTTCAGTGCTGTGCTACTTGCTTTTTATTCATGAGAAAACACTGATTAATCTTCATAACTCAAGCTTAGAAGAGATGAAATCTAGAAATATAATTTGAGTCTATGAGTGAATCCCACTCTAATATACTAACAAAAGATAGTTCCACGTCATCCTGCCTTTAACATACCTTGACTGACTGTATTTTTAAGTGCACATTGTAAAAAAGAGAGCTTTCATTGCCTCATCAATCTTCCCTGAAAACAAATGCAGCTGGTTTCCAAATGTATCCCTATATTTAATCTGTATCTCTAAAACAATTAGGAAGTTCCTCCTAATATAAAGCTAAATTTTATTAATTCATAGTTTTCTTCAAAATGCAAAAAATTAAAAAGAATCTTTAAAATCCACTTGCAGTGCCACCATTTATGTAAAATTTTTTTACAATTTTGTTGTTTATGTTACAAGATCATGGATACATAACTATGTGTCTGTGTGTGTGACTCTTTTTGCTGAATAATATATCACAGATATATGCCACATGGCCATTATTAATCTATCATCATGTTAAAGGCTACTTAGTATTTTGCCTAAATGTACTGCAATTTATTAATTATTTCCATACTGTTAAGTTTTTAAAAGCTTTCAAGTTTTCACCATTCAAAATATTGCTATATTGGATATACTGAAAAATACATTTTTCACACTTTGATTATTTACTTTGCTAAGCACTTAAAAATGAGATTGTTATATAAAAGAGTATGCATCTTTTCAAAGTTTGGAATTATATTGACAAATCACCTTCCAGGAATTTCATTTTTTTCTCTTCTACTAAATCTCTCTTTTTTCTTTTTTTTAAAGATTTTATTTTTTTCCTTTTTCTCCTCAAAGCCCCCCGGTACATAGTTGTATATTCTTCGTTGTGGGTCCTTCTAGTTGTGGCATGTGGGACGCTGCCTCAGCGTGGTTTGATGAGCAGTGCCATGTCCACGCCCAGGATTCGAACCAACGAAACACTGGGCCACCTGCAGCGGAGCGTGTGAACTTAACCACTCGGCCACAGGGCCAGCCCCATAAATCTCTTTTTTCTACTATCCCACTTCATCCCACTAACACTGAATACTTTCATATTTTAAAATTACTGTCAGCATGATAAAAAATTATAATAATAATATCAACTAACACTGTTGAACATCTACTGTGTGCTAGGCTTTGTTCTATTTGCTGTACATATATGGTTTCACGTAATCTTCATGTAATCCCAGGAGGTAGATACTATTCCAGCCTCTGTTTTACTGTGAGGGAGTAGAGGTACTGAAAGTAACTCACCAAATGTTACTCAGCTACAAGGGCAGTGGGGACACTGGAATTCAAATATAGGCTGTTTGGCTCCAGAGTCAGTGCTCAAAACTGTTTTAACAACAAAGAAGAATTTTTTCCCCAATTCTTCATTGGAAATTTATTTGTATTTGTTTGTGGATTGTCTTTTCTTGTTCTTTGGCCAGTTATCTATTGTGTGATATGTCTTTGTCTTCATAATATGAAAACAGGGGCTCTATTTTAGAGTCTCTGCAAAATACATGATCCTCTCTTCTATTTTCAGAACCATGGTGTTCTAATTATTATAGCTTTCTACTGGTTAATGTGTATTGAGGCATATACCCCGTAATTATTCTTTTTTTTTCATAAAATTCCCTTGCTATTCTTCCATATTTACTCTTCTAAATATGGGTTAAAATTGGAATTGGCTTTAGGTAATAAACATATGAATTGGCTTGATTTTGGAAGAAATTATATTATTACAACAGCTAGTTCTGCTATAGGAGAAGAGAATACATTATTTCATTTATGTGTTTCTTTTATTTGCCTCAGGAAATTAAAATTTTTTCTTTCCTTTGTTTCTATGAATTTTTGTTTGGTATATATGGAGATTATATATTATATATTGTATGTATATATTGTATGAATATATTTAACTTACACTGAGAACATTCATTTCCATTATAATTCTCTTAGAAATAATTGGGGACATACTCAAACTTTATGGGCAAGAATGTCCATGGCAGCATAATTTACAAAAATGAAAATTGATCAATAACTTGAATAACCAAGAATTATGTATTAATTAAATAACTTAGAGAATCCCTGTGTGATGGGGTACCATGAAACCATTAAATATTGTATTTTAAAAATATATATACACCATGGTGAATAAAGTGGAAGATTATTATATATATACAATAGATTTGTCTTACTGAATATCCAGTAAAGGAATTGGAAAGCTTTGAGAATTTTTAAAGTGGTCTGCTATAACATGTTATATCTTTCCTACATAATAATAATAGCTGGTTAGGAAAATATTTCTTAAGTGCTTTGAACATTGGAAAAATCAAGATAAAAAGAAATTTATTTCATGAAAGGACATTTTCATGTACTCCCACCTCCTTTACTTTATAAAACATGGGTGGACAAACTAAAATGAAGAATATGAGGGGATGAGCCAACACTGAACTCCACTACAGAAACGTGCCAGAGTTTTAATCTCCTGAATACACCCATGCCTCAAAGAACCCCTACCCGTGATTCCATGTTGCCTTCGTTGTCCAAATCAGTCATTCTGGGAGGCTTTATAATGATCCCAGACTTAACTTCAGTAAATTTGTTTCTTTTGTTTCATCCTGTAGGGACATCCTCCGTCCAAAATTTAAATAAGAAATTATCACAAGAAAGAAAAACTGTCCATCAATACATATGCCTAATATATTATCTCTTAGCCTAAAGTCTCAGAGTGTTGAGTATATTAAATGAGGAAAATGCCACATTTAGTCTTCCGAAAGGGTCCTATCAATTTTATCTCAAACGTGCAGTTTTGTCTTTCTTGCAGATGAGGTGGATCTGGACCTGAGGCTTGTGGGTACAGATAATCACTGTTATGGGAGATTGGAGGTGAAATACCAAGGAGAGTGGGGGACTGTGTGCCATGACAAATGGAGCACAAAGAATACAGCTGTTGTGTGTAAACAATTGGGATGTGGAAATCCTGTCCATATATATGGTATGACCCATATTATGGAAGCATCAGGACCTATCTGGTTGGATGATGTTTCTTGTAGTGGAAATGAGTCAACTATCTGGGACTGTGAACACGCTGGATGGGGAAAGCATAACTGTGTACACAGAGAGGATGTGACTGTGACCTGCTCAGGTAAGATTCATTTTGTTTATTCTATCCTGACAAAAGGAATAGTATTCATAAGAATGGCACTTCATATGGTTGAGGCAGAATAGAAGGAGGGGGAATCCACAGACTTTATAACATGGGGTATATAGTTAGAAAACTCTCACTGTTAAATCAGAAAGTATTAGCAAAAGTCATTGTCTGAAGAGAGAAAATGCTATCTTCTACTCCCCCACCTCATTTATTGCTTTTACTCCCCTTCATATTCTCAGTCTTGATTTTAAAACATCTGTTATCTGTAGCCTTGCAGTTTTCAAAGATTGTCTAACTAGGAATTTCCCAATAGCACTAAAAGAAGGAAAGAGGAATTTGAAGTACATTTGAATCAAAAAAATGAAAATATTTCATAGGGATAATACAGGGCTAAGAGATATTACAGATGGTTCCCGCCTTACAATGGCTCAGCTTATGATTTTTTGACTTTACAGTGGTGCAAAAGTGATGCATTCAGTAGAAACCATACTTCAAATTTCAAATGTTGATCTTTTCCCTGGCTAGCAATGTGCGGTACAATACTCTCTTGTGATGCTGGGCAGTAGCAGCAAGCCACAGCTCCCAGGCAGCCACGTGATCACAAGGGTAAACAACCAATACACTTACAACCAATCTGTACCCAGGCAACCATTCTGTTTTTCACTTTCAGTACGGTAGTCAGTAAATTATGTGAGATATTCAAGACTTTATTATAAGATAGGCTTTGTGTTAGATGATTTTTCGCAACTAATGTAAGTGTTCTGAGTACATTTAAGGTAGTAGGCTAAGCTACGATGTTAGGTAGGTTAGATGTACTAAATGCATTTTCAATTTACAATATTTTCAACTTAAAATGGGTTTATTGGGATGAAACCCCATCACAAGTCAGGGAAGATCTGTATAGTATTTGATAAAAGGTAAATATTTAGATTTTCTTTTAGAAAATATTATTAGACCCTGAATATTTATAACTTATTGTGAAATAGTTGGATTAGTGACAATAGATATACAAGAGCCTTATTCAAATAATTAAGAAAATTATTTTTAATTGGATAAATTATTAAATAATTAAGAAATGTCATAGAAACACATTCATCTGAATTTTAAGTAATATCAAACATATGTAGTGATGTTCCTCCTACCTCTGTATATACGCTTGTGGTTAGTAGTATTCCTGTTAGACTCAACAAGGACCCCTGAACAGAGTGGAGAACACCCTGGACTTATTGGGCAGTGAGAAAATAATGCTTAAAACTCATTCAGATGCATAGATCATCAAGTACAGATCACCTTCAACTTACATTGGGGTTACATCGCATCATAAATTGAAAGTATCATAAATAAAAAATGCATTTAATACACCTAACCTACTGAACATCACAGCTTAGCCTCGCTTAATCATGGCTAGAACACTTACATTAGCTTACAGTTGGGCAAAATAATCTAACACAAAGCCTATAATAAAGCGTTGAATATCTCAGGTAATTTATTGACTAATGTACAGAAAGTGAACCTAATGCAGTATTAGGAAAATATTGTATGGCTAGAACCACATAGGATGAATTAAAAGGTGCTGCAGTTGCATTGGGAAACGTCAGGGTGTGAGGAATTGTAATGGGCAAGTCTTCCTCAGAAAAGTCATGTTCAAAATGCCACTTGAAGATAAGGAGAGTTGATATATTCCTGATGTAGGACAGCGGAGGTGCACTGTTGGCCTTGCCAGCTGAAAGCAAACTGCTTCTGGTGGTCTTTTTAAAAAGATATTGAGGAAAAAAAGCATTTGTCAGATCAATAACTGCACAACAATTACCAGAGGATGTATCAATTTGCTCAAGCAATAGAATCATATCTGAAAAAGCAGCTGCAATTGGAGTCACCATTTGGTTAAGCTTATGATAATCCATTGTCTTTCTCCAAGACTCGCATGTTTTCTGCGCAGACCAAATAGGTGAGTTGAATGGGGATATGTTAGGAATCACAACTCCTGCATCCTTCAAGTCCTTGACGGTAGCACTAAACTCTGCAATCATTCCAGGAAAGTGGTATGGATTTTGGTTTACTAATTTCCTAGGTGGAGGCAGTTCTAGTGGCTTCCACTTGGCCTTTTACACCATAATAGCCCTCACTCTACAAGTCAGGGAGCCAATGTGAGAATTCTTCCAGTTGCTAAGTATGTATGTTCTAATTATGCATAATTCATAGTTAGAATTAACGAATTCCAATTAGCTATGGATCTGGGGAAACAACCACAGAATGAGTTAGGGAACCCAGTGGGCCCACCGTGAGGCAGACCTGTACTAAAACCCCATTGATCACTTGACCTCCATAAACCCCTACACTGGCTGGTGGACCGACAGATGTTTTGGGTCTCCTGGAATTAATGTCAGTTCAGAGTGAGTGTCCAGTGGTTCTTAAAAGGTCTGATTATTTTCTTTTCCCAAATGCACAGTCACCTTGGTAAAAGATTGTAGGTCACTTTGGGAAATGTTGGGAGAAAATTTAAAAGTATAAATATTTGGTACTGTGACTGGGTCCATCCTCAAGGTGATCTGGCCTCCCTTCCTTCATGGGATTCTGGGTGTGTAAACTGACTCAAGTCTGGGAATCAATTGAGGGACCATGAGTCTCTGTTCCTATGATTCAAGTTAGATTTATATTTGCTTGACCTAGAACTCTTCTACTTATGCAGATCAAGAAGTTAATAGACCGCCTGCCTATTTCACTTCTATAAACACCATTATCAACTAGCTGATGCCATAGGTCTCTGCAAATCAGACTATTTTCATTACTGCTTTGAATGTACTATCTATTATGGTAACCACGCCCACCTTGCCTTTGACAGTTAAGCGCCCATCTCTTGTCCTCACCACCTTGGAATTCAGTTATCCCCACTGTATTTAAGAATTCGAACTCAGTGGCAGCAGTTTCCATTGTAATTTCTTTCTGACCTGTATGAAGAGCAGCTACAAATCTCTTCAAGAATGATGGGCTCCTCTCACAAATTTATTTCTCATAGTCATGGTAAAAGGTGTGTTCTCTGGACCCTCCCAGGGTGGGTGAGTAGATCTTACATGATAAATCCACTCTAACATTCCAAGCTACCTAAGCCTTTGGATTCTTCCTCTACCATATACAGAGGCAGTTCTGGCATTTTAACTTCATTTAATGTAGGCCATCTTTTGGTCAATGTTTCAGCCAACCAATCAAACTATTAGAGCCCTTTCTAACCACCTGAGCTGCTTCATTAAATCTAGAATATCTGCTTAGTGGGCCTATATCAATAAATTCAGCCGAATTCAATTTTAATTTCCTTCCGCTGTTATCTCACACCCTTAATATGCATTTCCACACACATTCCCAAGATTTATGTCCATATAAATTTGAAAAATCATGTTTTTTCTGTGCACTCTTCCACATGAGTCACATTTTGTACCTCACTTTGGGACCTACTGGGTCTTGAGTCTAGTTGTAGTTCTAGAAATAAAGAAGGCTAGTGGGGGTGGGTCCTGAGGAGGATCAGGAGGGTCATGCAAAGCAACTACCTCAGGGGAGGAGGTTATATATATATGAGAGACAGAGAGAGAGAGAGAAAAGGAAAGGGAGAGGGAGAGAGAGGGAGAGAGAGGGAGAGATTGACGGAGTGAGAGAGAGACTGAGGGAAAGAGAGGCTTTAAGGAATTATGGGGTTCAAATCCAAAATCTGTAGGGTAGGCCAGCAGACTGGAGAGCCCAGAAAGAGTTGATCTTGCAGATTTGAGCCCAAAGACAGTCTAGAGATAGAATTCATTCTCTTCTCTTAAAGTCTTCAACTAATTAGATGAGGCCAACCCACCTCATGGAGGATAATCTGCTATACTCAAAGTTTGCTGAGTTAAATGTTATTTACATCTAAAAATAGCTTCACAGCAACATCTGGACTGGTGTTTGACCAAACAACTCAGTTCCGTAACCTAGCCAACTTGACACATAATATTAACCATCACACCCACTAACTACTTGCTTCACTGTTTTTGATGTAGATAATACAAAGTGGAGCCTGAGGCTGATAGATGGCAACAGCCGCTGCTCAGGAAGACTGGAGGTGTACTTTCAAGGACAGTGGGGCACAGTATGTGATGACAATTGGAGCAGTAATGCTGCTGCTGTGGTGTGTGACCAGCTGGATTGTCCATCTTCTATTATTGGCATGGGTCTTGGAAATGCTTCTGTAGGATCTGGAAAAATTTGGCTTGATGATGTTTTCTGTGATGGGGATGAGGCACAACTCTGGGCATGCAGCCACAGTGGGTGGGGAAATCATGACTGCAGTCACAGTGAAGATGTTGGAGTGACCTGCTCTGGTAAGACACCCAAACCAGGATTTCCTATAAAAGTGCCTGGGCTCTCTAACACACTCTTTTTTTCCCCTTGAATGGGTACCTGTATTGCAGAGTACTCATTTCTCACTTTTGCAAACTACTGATACCTCATATCCTCATTCAGATTTTTAATGCCTCTTCCTATAGTACCAAACCCTCAGGAAATGAAACCTTATGTTCTAATATTTGCCAAGATTTTCCCAAGGTTAGCTTCCCCAGACACTAGTGTTACAAAGGATTCTACAAAAAGAAATTATCCATAGTCAGATTAGTTTAGGAAAAAATAATAAAAATTCAGTCATTAAGACACTTAAACACTTGTGGTAAAACATCCACATACTTGAAAATTCTTTCCCATGATTACCCAAATATGCATTCTTACCTGAAAGATTTATTTATGTAAAATTTATACCAATAGCATTAAAGCAAGTGAACCTCATCTAAAAGTCTGGGCTTATGGTTTATATTATTTCAAAAATGTCAAGAATTCCCCTTCAGGCTCCTTCTCCAAGGCCAAAGTTTTAATTAGACAACTTTCAAATGGTCCAAAGAAAAATTTCATGTATACCTATGCAGGTAGTACAATTTCAGAAGAGTTGAATTCCCTTACTTTTTATATACTGTTTTATTAGTCTTGGAGTTTCCTTATGTTCAGTGAATCCCAACATCTTTATCTCTTACTCTATATGTTCCTTTCTGAGATAAATGAGTAAGACATTGAGTTGTGTTTTAAAGAATCATTAAACTCCAATATAAATCTGAAATTTACCTCTTAAACTTTGACCATTCTATTCTGCCTTTCAATTTAGGTAGATCTACAGTTACAATTTACAAATAATTACAATCCTTCCTCAGAGGAGCTATTCTTCCAACTTGAATTTTTCACATGTCTTCTGGAAGCTTGTTCTGCCACTGAAACAACCTCTTTTAAGGGGAAATTTTGCTTCCCATGGCCATGAATATCAATATGTTTTCCTTTTTTAATTTTTATATTTTTTTAATTGACATAGCATTGGTTTATAACATTGTATAGATTTCAGGTATACATCATTTTGACTTCAGTATATACTGCATCCTGTTGACCACCAAAAGTCTAGTTTCCATCTGTCATTGTACAGATGTCCCCTTTTTCCCCTTCACCCTTTCCCTACCACCTCTCCCCTCTGGTAACTACCAATCTGTTCTCTGTACCCATGCGTTTTGTTGTTTTTTGTTTATCTTCCATGTATGAGTGAAATCATGTGGTATTTTTCTTTCTCTGTCTAACTTAGCATAATACCCTCAAGGTCCATGTTGTCACAAACGGCAGGGTTTCATCTTTTTTATGGCCAAGTAGTGTTCCATTGTATATACATACCACATCTTCTTTATCCGTTCATCCATCAACGGGCACAAAGGTTGTTTGCATGTCTGGCTATTGTGCATAATGCCACAACGTATCTTTCAATAAAAGAATTCAGGTTCCCTGAACATGAGATCCAACTCTAGTCCATAGAAACTATCCACATTTTTTTTTCCTGTGCTTGTATCTATTATAGTAAACTTCAGACTCCTTTAGAGGGAGATGTTATTGTTTGTTTATATTAAAGATGTGTAATTCAGGAAGACCTACATGTCAATGTGATGTTACCTTCTCATGCTGAACCATCTACTACAACTGATTTTCTACCTAAGCCTGTCTCACAGTGAATATATGTTGCTACCCAGCAGTGAAATATGTTTTTCCCTATATTTAGAGTACTTTCTTAGGGCAAAAAATTTTTATCTGCTTCTAGACCACCTTTTCAGGTAATCTCAATCTTCTTAGAGATTCCTGCAAGACATATAGATACTCCCCAAAAGCATAGCTCTGTAAATATCAGTACCTAAAATAAGTCCCATTTGTAAAAATGTCTTTTTACTATTATGGAAAAGTTGAAAATAACTGCTCTACCAACCTCAAATGATTACACTTTCAAAACCTCTGCTAACTATGAAAAGATCTTAACCCTTGCTTCACAAACACTGTCACTGAGCCCCAATAACACAGAGAAACATATAGGCTTAAAATGGAAATACACTGCAATTTTATTTCTCTATTTAATGGGAGTTTTACTTAGAGAATCATTCCATATCCACTCAAACATAATTATGTCAAAATAACTAATATAGTAAAATCTTACTCAGCAGTGTTGTAAGCATCAGGCAATGGGGCTGGCGTGAAAGGAAAGGGCAGACATTGCAAGGTCCTCTGGAGCATATTAATTATGTTGTTCCTCTCCTCAAGGCCAATCGGCAGTAATTTGGTCACACTAATAGAACTGATTTTCTGACATGTCAGATCTTTCAATATTAGTAAGTTAGATCTATTAATATAATTTAATAAATAAAGTAGAAAATACGGAGTATGAATTCACATAGATATCATATTTATTAATATTAATTTTATTTTTTAATTAAAAATAAGATAAAATAAGTTGACATCATCCACTATTCATTAAAAATTAAAGCATGAATTAGATAAAGAAGTATTGCATGCTTAGCATAATTAAATATATTACTTTCACATCAGTAGGCAATATTATTTGTTTCACAAACTATATCACAGCACACCAGAAACTACTAACATGCCCTAAAAGAGATAAATCAGCTTTGCTAGAACAGGTCTCATTCCATTTCACATCGATACTTGTGAGACTTGCCTTCAAAAGCTGACTGTTTTGGGCCAGCCCGGTAGCATAGATGTTAAGTTTGTGCTCTCTGCTTCAGTGGCCCAGATTTCGCTGGCCAGGATCCCAGGTGCAGACCTACACACCACTTATCAAGCCGTGCTGTGCCAGGCACCCCACATATAAAATAGAGGAAGATGGGCACAAATGTTAGCTCAGGGCCAGTCTTCTTCAGCAAAAAGAGGAAAATTGGCGGCAGATGTTAGCTCAAGGCAAATCTTCCTTAAAAAAAAGAAAAGAAAAGAAAAGCTGACTGCTTCAACTTGGCTCAGAATTAATTTCCAGTTTCTTAATTCTTCAAAAAATCACATACAGTAAATTTCATATTTTCTTTTCGTAGAGGCCAATGTCTTTTTAAGATTATTTTCATCTAGCATCTCTAACAGATTTAAGTTTATTCTAGCTTTTCCTGGATTTTGTAATATCACAGATGTGTGCGTTTCTTCTTTGATTCTACATATATTATATCACCTTTCCTTAATATTCTCCTGAGTCTCTAGCAGATGACATGTAGTTATTCAAAATTCAGACAAAAATTAAGACCATTAAGTAACGTTATTTTTTCTATTTTTTTAAAGTTAATTTTTATTGAGTTTATGATAGTTTACAATCTTGTGAAATTTCATTTGTACATTATTTTTTGTCAGTCGTGTTGTGGGTGTAATGTTACTTTTATCCAAAGTCTCTGTTCAGATTTTGTAGGCAAAGTGATATCCCTTCTTTTCTCTCTCTTTTTTTTTTTTTTTGAGGAAGATTAGCTCTGAGCTAACTACTGCCAATCCTCCACTTTTTGCTGAGGAAGCCTGGCCCTGAGCTAACATCCGTGCCCATCTTCCCCCACTTTATATGCGGGACGCCTACCACAGCATGGCGTGCCAAGCAGTGCCATGTCCACACCCGGGATCCGAACCAGCGAACCCTGGGCCACCGAGAAGCGGAACGTGAGCACTTAAGCACTGCACCACTGGGCCAGCCCCACTTCTTTTCAAACCAGAAATTTTCATGAGTTTGGAGCATACCTGAGTGATACATTTTTTTAAATCCAATAAAAAGGAAACATGAACTTTGAAGGAAAACATAAAATAAAGTTATTAAACACACTAGAGAAGTCAGGACCTGGACAATCTCTCAGCTTTTGATCACTGGTTTATGAGTGGGAAAGAATCTTAAATGTCTTATGTGGTACACTTCTCTAAAATCACTCTGGTGTTTTGATTACAGATGAATCAGATATGGAACTGAGGCTTGTGGGTGGAGGCAGCAGATGTGCTGGTAGAGTCGAGGTGGAAGTCCAGGGTGCCGTGGCAACTGTGTGTGCTACCCGCTGGGGAATGAACATTGCTGCAGTTGTTTGCAGGCAACTTGGGTGTGGCTCTGTACTCAGTATCTCCAGAGAGTTTCATTTCACTGGGAGAACATCACACATCTTACTATCTACATCTGGCTGCACTGGAAATGAAGCCTCTCTCTGGGAGTGTGCCCATTGGAAGTGGATACAGACTACATGTCTTTCTCATACAGAAGCTAGTGTGATCTGCTCAGGTAATTTCTGGGCAAAGAAAAATACATTTATTCAACTATTTATTCTTTCATGTATTTAATCAATATTTATGGAGTGGCTATTTAACAATACTAGGTCAAAAGTAGATGAGCTAAATAAAAGTAGCTCTATTCTCTTATATAGAAAAGAAGACGATAGGTGTATAATGAAAATATATAATGAAATAATGATTGATTTAAAGTTGTATGAAGTAGAAGTACAAGATGAAATGAGAAGGCATAATTAGAAGATATTACCTATTTGCAGAGTCAAAGAATATTTCTGTGATGATATTTAAGAAAGGACCTAAAGTATGAGTATGACTTAATCAAGTAAAAAAGTGTTAGGAAGATCATGGAAAAATATAGATAGTATTTTATTCAAGTACCAAAGGTGGAATGAGCTTGTCTGATTCCAGGAACCAAAATATGGCTGAAGGAAAAGCGTTAGACCTAAGTGAATGAACAAGGGGAAGAGGTTCCAGTAAAGCCTTGAGATGTAGGCAAGGGCAAGATTATTTATGGAGTAGAGATTTTGGTACTTTATTCTAAAGTGAAAGGGAAACCATTGAAGGGCGTAAGCATGAGAAGATACATTTTAAAGAGAAAAGTCTGTAGTGTGTGTGTGTGTGTGTGTGTTTGTGTGTGTGTGGAGGTGGTAGGGGGCTATAGGATGCAGGACGTCAAGTTGTTTGATGATTCTAATGAAAGCATGAAGTTCTGAGTAGGATATTCATTGTGGGTCTGTTGAAAAGTTAACGGATCCAAGAAACATTAGTTGCTGGAACAAAAAGAACTTGATAATTCATTGAATGTAGGAGTTTGGATAAAGAAGACTCAAAGATTGCTCCAAGATTTCTGGACTAAGCAAACAGATATACTGCAGCTGTGTCATCTAAAAAGAATATCCTGGTAGAGGAGAAAGTTGGAGAGTGTGGAATGATGAATTTAGTTTTGTAAATGTTGAGTTTGTGGTATTTGTAAAACAGTCAAATAAAGGGGGTGGCAGGAACATGGATATAAGAGTTAGGTGATCAGAAGACTTTTCTTGGATGGAGAGATAAATACTAGGATGTGGATGTTAACTAAAACCTAGGGATAAAATGTAAACTAGGAGTAAAATAAATAGACCCAAGAAAAAAGAGTTCTTATCCCTGAGGAATAACAATATTAAATGGTTTATCAACTTCAAAGAAGCTGGAGAAGGATACTGAGGAGTCGTGGTCAGAGAATGTCATGTCACTGAAATCAACGGAAGAGGACATTTCAAAAAGGAAGGCATTATCAGCTCTGTCAAAAGTTATTGAGAGGTTAATATAGATGAAACTGAACATTTTCCACAAAGTTTAGTAAACTTAACAAAAGCAATCTTGTTGCATTGAAAAAAAAGATAGTTTCAAGTTGAACAGTTGATGGGAATTAGGATGTTGGGAAGACAATTATACACTATTTTTCAAAGAGACAAATTTTAAGGGGAAGAGATAGCTGAGGCGATGACTAAAAAGGAATATAGGTCCAGGGAAATTGCTTAATTTTTTCTTTGATAGAAGAGTTGAGAGTAGCGTTGTTCAATAGAACTTTCTGTGATAGAGTAAAATATATACAATTATCGGATGTTAAGGGCTATACAAAAAGAAAATAAAACAAGAAAAATGGGATTCAGATTGTGTATGGGACACAATATAATTCAAATAGGATGTCTGTGATAGGCCTTATTCAAAAGGTGAAACTTGAACAAAATTGAAGGAGGCAAGAGAGTTAGTAATGTGCATATATGCGGAAGAAAAATACAGGTAGAGGAAACAGCCAGTTCAAATGCCTTATGACAAGATTATGCCTGACATGTTTGAGGAACAGTAAGGAGTCCACTGTGGGTTGAAGAGCAAGAAGTAGAACAGTTGGACATGGCATCAAAAGAGGTAAGTGGGGACTGGCCCGTGGCTGAGTGATTAAGTTCACCCACTCTGCTTTGGTGGCCAGGGGTTTGGCCGGTTCGGATCCCGGGCACGGACCTGGCACTGCTCATCAGGCCATGCTGAGGCGGTGTCCCACATAGCACAACTAGAAGGACCCACAACTAGAATATACAACTATGTACTGGGGGGGCTTTGGGGAGAAGGGGAGGGGAAAAAATGAAGACGATTGGCAACAGTTGTTAGCTCAGGTGCCAATCTTTTAAAAGAAAAAAAGAGGTAATTGGATGAGGCAGGTTATTTGGGAATAAGTAGGTCAAGAATTTAGGTTTTTACTCTGAGTGAAACATGGAGCCATTGGAGGAGCAAAAACCTGATAATGTCTGATTTCTAATTTTAAATGACCTCTCTGGCTTTTTAATTAAGAATAAACTATAGAGGATCAATGATGGAAATAGGGAATTCATAGGAGTCTACTGCAGTAATCCAGGCAAGAGATAATGGTGGCCCAGTCCAGGTGTTAGCAATGGAAGGGTGATAAATGTTGGGATTATTAACACAGTTTGAAGATACATAAAACAAAATTTCCTAAACGGTGGAATATACGATGTGATAGGAGTGAAGAATTACTCCAATATTTTTTAATATCTGGAGTGATGGATTTCCATCAACTGAAATATGGAAGACTGCAGTCTTAGAAGATGCTTGAAAGGACAGTCAAGAATTCAGTTTGAGATGTCTGTAAGAAATCCAATTGGAAATGCTAGGTAGCAGTTGGATAAATGAGTCAGGAGTTTGGAAAAAATATCTGAATTGGAAGCAGATATCATAGATTATTAATACAAGTAGTTATGCTACAAACGATGGGGTCAGGAAAACAAGGCAATATTTTTGTTTGTTTTTAGATTACTAAAATGTGTTTCTCGGATCTAACCTTCTATTTTTAGATTACATCCTCACCTTCCTAAAAGGATTACAAAATCTTAATATCTCTTGTTTAATGCTGAAGTTTACCCAGTCAGTACTTTTTAATGTAAACTAGTTGTGCCATTCACTTCCTTCAGAGGAGTTCTAATCCTGGATTTGTGTGTTACCAAGATATAGAGAGTAAACAGATAATCTGGATCTTAGGAACCAAGTCTAAATTACATAACATCATTCTCTGATCCCCTGCAAATGGAGCGTTCTAATGATCAATGGAGAAAAAGTGCCCTGGAGTTAGATATGGAGATTAGAGGACAGGGATAGAATTGGAGACTATAAAAACTAACCTTTGAAATATTCTTTGTAGTCCACAGGCAGCCCAGGCTGGTTGGAACTGATATTTCCTGTTCTGGACGTGTTGAAGTGAAACATGGAGACACGTGGGGTTCTGTCTGTGGTTCTGACTTCTCTCTCCATGCTGCCAATGTGCTGTGCAGAGAATTAAATTGTGGAGAGGCCAGATCTCTTTCTGTGGGAGCTCACTTTGGAAATGGGAATGGTCCAATTTGGGCTGAAAAGTTCGAGTGTGAAGGGAATGAAACTCACCTTGCATTGTGCCCCACTGTGCCCCATCCAGAAGAGACTTGTAACCACAGCAGAGAAGTTGGAATTGTCTGTTCTCGTAAGCTATCTAATGAGCTTAATTGGCTGGGGCTGGAGATGGAGAATGTGGGGCTGGAGTTGAAAAGTCATGGCCTCTTCTCTAAGGCTTTATCTCCTCTTAGGCTATACAGACGCCCGACTTGTGAATGGCAAATCCCAATGTGAGGGGCAAGTGGAGATCAAGGTGCTTGGATATTGGGGCTCCCTCTGTGACAGTTACTGGGACCTGGAAGATGCCAATGTCCTATGCAGTCAACTCAGCTGTGGGGTTGCTCTCTCAACCACAAAAGGAAAATATATTGGAGAAGGAAGTGGTCGTGTTTGGGGACACAGATTTCATTGCTTAGGGAATGAGTCCCTTCTGGATAATTGTCAGATGACAGTCCTTGGAGCACCTCTCTGTGCCCATGAAAATGTCATCTCTGTGACCTGCTCAGGTAAGGGAACAGTGCTCCTGGTCACCTACTGGCAATATAGCCCAGAAGTGCTGGAGGAGGTAAGGGATTAAAGGAAAGATAGATAAGAAAATGGGGCCGGGGTGGGGAGTGGGGGTAGGATAGGCATGACAGTCAAAAAGTAACATGTAATGAATAATGATGACTGGGGACGCTCCTAGGGCAAAGGTAACTCACCTCTCCATTTGGGGTTTGCAAGTAGACATTAATAAAGACAATTTTTATTGATCACAAGAGTTTGAAGAGTCCTTACCATGATTGCTTATTCTATTTTGTCAGTGAACTGTTCAATCTTTTTATGTATTTTGACCTTACTTTTGCCCCATTTCCTACACCCCCACCAGGAAACCAGACCCAGCCATTGTTTCCATGCTCTGCAAGTTTATCTGACTTATCTGTGTCTGTAGTCCCAGAAGGTAGTGATTTCATCTGCTCAGGTAAGTAAATCACAGTGCCAGGAAGTGCTTTGCAACTCTAAAAAATGTCACCTGTTAACTGGACTTTCACCTCTCAGAGGACAAACTGCTCCGCCTGGTGGATGGGGGCGGTCGCTGTGCCGGCAGAGTGGAGATCTTTCACCAGGGCTCCTGGGGCACCATCTGTGATGATAACTGGGACCTGAGTGATGCCCACGTGGTGTGCAGACAGTTGGGCTGTGGAGTAGCCATTAATGCTACCAAATCTGCTCACTTTGGGGCTGGATCAGGGCCTATCTGGCTGGACGACCTGAACTGCACAGGAAAGGAGTCCCACGTGTGGAAGTGTCCTTCCCGGGGCTGGGGGCAGCAGGACTGCAGGCACAAGGAGGACGCAGGGGTCATCTGCTCAGGTCTGTGCTGCAACCTTCACACCCTCCCCTATACACACGCACACACACACACCCCCACATGGCACAACGGTAAAGTATAGTGAAAATGTACTGATCTGAGAATTGATTTTAATCCTGTTCTTACACTGATTTCTTAATACCCTGCCAAAATATTTCATTTGTTTGAGTGTCCTTTCATAATTTAGGAAATAGAGGGTTGATCTTAGAATCAGGGAAAGTTAGACCCCAAGAAAGGGACCTTACATTCTATCCACTCTGGTGTTAAGAAGCCAAAAGACCTTGAGTAATTTGCCCCAAAACGCATTCCAGTAAGTAGCAGAAATGAGATTAACCTGATTATTTTCTGACTCTAATTTATGTGAGAGAGTAGAAGGAAGAGAGATACATTTTAATTTGATACAAGTTTAAAGCTCAAATACCATCCTTGGGAAATCCATATTAACCCTGAAATCACCCGAGATCCTTAGTTTCCCCTGGAGACATTCTGTTAATATGTTAGTATCGTTTATGAAATTGTATTATGAGCCCTAAAAAACTATTTCCAGGAAAAAAAAAAATGGATCCTAGGGAGGAATACTTTTGAAACTCTAAAGGAAATAATTAACTCTAGATTTTCTATTTCTCTCCAGAATTCACAGCTTTGAGGCTCTACAGTGAAACTGAAAGGGACACCTGTGCTGGGAGGTTGGAGGTCTTCTACAATGGGACCTGGGGCGGCGTGGGCAGGAGAATCACTGCCGTCACAGCGGGGATCGTATGCCGGCAGCTGGGCTGTGCAGAGAATGGAGTTGTCAGCCCGTCCCCTTCGTATAAGACAGGCTCTGGCTTCATATGGGTAGATGACATTCAGTGTCCTAAAATGCATATCTCCATATGGCAGTGCCCATCTGCCCCCTGGGAGAAGAGAATATCTAGCCCAGCAGAAGAGGCCTGGATCACGTGTGAAGGTGGGTGTCCTTCTGAACACTGGCTGCCATCTGAGGCCCTGTGAAATATAATTTGCCACTAACAAATATCTAATTTTTCAGTTCAGGAGCACATGGCAAACTCACGAAAAGTATATGACAATAAATGCTGATTTATCACTTCTGTCCCACAGTGCAACTTCGTTACTCTGGTTTGGTATTTTACAGTTTGTTCGGCTTTTGTAGTGTGTATTGTCTTGTTTGCTTCCTTTAAGGCCCCTGTGAGCAGCTGGGTGGAAATCGTACAAAATTGTGGTGGTGTAGAAACTGAAAAATATAATATGTCTTCTTATTATAAATATATTTCTTAAATTAAAATATTATATTAAATATACTATAAATAAAATATAATTTGTCTTAGAAATTCTAGACATCTTAGAACTTTTGGGAAGTATGTAAATTAATTGGGGAGATTAAAATGTTCCATTGTTTCCTGCAGAAATTTCCAGTATGAAAAGTTGATAATTTGTACATTTATAATTAGCTTTATTCAATTAAAATTTAACGTTTATTATAGAAATTTAGACATTTTTAAAATTACAAGTAATAAAATGCATTCCACATTTAATCCTACCATCAAAAATAGCTATCACTGGGGGCTGGCCGGTGGTGTAGTGGTTGGGTTCGCACGCTCCACTTCGTGGCCTGGGGTGGCAGGTGCGGACATTGACACCGTTTATGAAGCCATGCTGTGGCAGGCATCCCACATATAAAGTACAGGAAGACAGGTATGGATGTTAGCTCAGGGCAAATCTTCCTCAGCAAGGAGAGAAGGATGGGCAGCAGATGTTAGCTCAGGGCTAATCTTCCTCAAAAAAATAAAAATAAATAACTTTCTCTAATATTCACAAGTATTGACTACTGGGCTTCCTTTCGTACAAAACTCTAATTGTGATTATGATTGCATATAGGAAATTTAGATATACTATTTATAATCTTTACAATATAAAACTTTATAATATAATTTATGTATATGTTTATATAGTATAGTATATATACATGTAATGTATAGTATTACACTATATTTATTTAGATATATATTATACACATTTTGATTTTTGTATCCTTTTTCATATAAAATTATGCTGTGAATATATTCTAATTTCAATAAGTGGTCTTCAAATGCCATAAAATATTAAATAATCATGTCTTTATTGGTATTAAGACTATTTCCCAATGTGAAACCAGTATAAATAACACCATTGTAAACGTTCTTATCCATTTTGGTGAATCTCTGATTATACTTGAAAACTGTATGTCTAATCTTGTAATGAAAGGGTACAGGCAATGAACATTTTCAAGATTTTTTATACATACTAGCTAATTGCCCCTACAGAAAACTTGTGTATTAATTTCCATTCTTATGATCAGTATACGAGAGAATCAATTTCCTCTTACCCTCCAACCAATGTTATACACAGAGAGAAACACACAGAGATGTACGCACACTTTCCCAAATTTAAATTTCACCTATCTCAACATAATTTGAATGGATTTTATTAGTAATGATACAGACAGTTTTCATGAATATTTTCCATTTGGGGTTCATATTTTTAAATTTCTTGCTTCTTTTTACTATGTGACTTTTATCATAACATAAAATCTCTCTCAAAACAAAAAAAAATTGAAAATACAGCAATCATGAAAGACACAAATAGCTATAATCTCATTGTTAACTGATGATATATTAGCTGATTTTACATTCTTGTGTACAGTACATTTGCATATATTTTAAATACATATATTTTGGTACAAGAAAAGTTATACTATGTATATTTCTGTCTCTTGCTCTTCTGATTCAGCAACGTTTTTTCATGTTAAAGCATACTTCTTTACAGTATGATATACTCTGATTCAGTGCACCAAACACCTGTTGATGGACGTTTGGAGAATTCAAGTTATTTTTCCATTTTAAATAACACCACATAAAAAAATCTTTAAACATATAGAAAATCATTTTTAAGCATACTTCTTAATATTTTCTAAGAAAAATCAACTTACCTATTGAATCATCAATTGCATTAAGTAAAATTTTGGATTTCAACCATCTTAACTTTTAATTTGCGAATATTTTACTTAGAAATTTTGCACCTGTAAAAGATACTGTGCCATAGTGTTCCTTTAACACTCTTTTTATATTTGCTGGTTTTAGGGTTGTGGATTTGTTGCCCCATAAAATTCATTAGAACAAATTCTACCTTTTATGGTCTTTAATAGTATATTGACCATAATAATTGTTTTAATATTTGAAAGTGAATATCTGCTACTGCTTTGGATACCAGTTTATTAATATCTAAGAGAATACCAAATATTATTGGATTATTTTAGTTTTCTCGGTCTATTTTGTGAAAAGATTAAGGAAGATAGGATTATAAACCATACTTTGAATTTATGATGATATAGGCCACTTGGTGATGCACTGTGTATTGGTGGAAGGTAAAAGGTAGTCTAGAAGGGTTTATTAATAAATAGGAAATTTTAAAAAATGAAGACAAAAAATAAACCAAATTCTTTCAAGAAGTTTTGCTGTAAGGCAGAAAACAGATAAAATGGTAGCTGGAGAAGGGTCCTTATGACCAGAGGAAAGGAAATTTTTTAAAAAGCACATGTGAAAACTATCAAGTTAATGTGCTTAGGGATGTAGAGTTCAGGTCAAAACCCCTCTGGTAGAAGCCAGATTACCTAAAAGCTAATTATCTTTTATAACTGTGGCTTTTCCCAAAATATTAAGTGAAGTAAAATCCTGAGACTCCCCCTCTTGATCTTCATGTAGTTGGTGGGCATTGATAAGGAAAGGTTTAGATGTTAAAGAACATTAACAAAGTAATGAAGAATGAGAAATAAAGTTAACTAAAAAGAATGGTAAGACCATTTAAAAATATTGAAGGTTTAGCATAATTTTTAACAATAATTTTATAATGACACCAGTTATGATTATCTGCAATTGTAGAGGACTAAGAAATTTTCTTCTATTCTTCTAACTTCGTCTGGCTGATCTAAGAATTAAGTTGACATGAGACAGAATAACAGGAAAAGCAAACAGAGTTTAATTACATGTACACATGAGAGAAACCCCGGAAAACTGAGTAACTCATCAAAATGGCTTAAGCCAGCACCTTAAATATCATCTTCAACTAAAGACAAAAGAGAATGTTGGGGGTAGTGGTTTGGAACTTCAAGGGGGAGGAAGGCAATTCACACGGAGGTGGAAAAGCAAATGTTTGGTAAACAAATGTTTGCCATGCCGGGCAGAAACAATGGGACATGGAGAGGACTTGGATCAAATGGGCCTTGCTAGGTTCCTCCCTGTCTACCACACCTAGTTCACATTATACTATGGTTATCTATGGTGATAGCTCCTTCCTGAAACAGGCCTTCTATTCTTTTAGGCAGTTAGGGGGAAGATCCAAGTTTCTTCCTGAGTCTTATATGGTTAAAAATAATCAAGCCAAAGAGACACATTTTGGGGTGGCAAATTCTGCTCCCCTGCAAATGAAACTCAATATTTCAGGAACTGACTCAAAAGAAGTGGACAGTTAACCTTACCCTGTATTTATACACAACCATGCGGGTATAATGGAATGTCAGTAGTGCCAAGAGTCTTTTACTTGGGCAAGAGAATGTTTGTAGTTATGATCATAGCCCATGTGCATTATAGGCAGGGAAGTGAAGGCAAGAAGAGATGATAATTCGAGGGAATAGGAGAATCAGTGGTCTGTAGATCGGACTTCAGTCAAACAAATGTTATATCTGGAGTAATTATGAAAATGAGAGGGACAGGATAGGAAGTTAGGGTCAGATGATAAGACACAGAAATTTGGAAAATGAAATCAATGTATTTTGTCTTTAAATATCTAACAGTAGAAAACAAATAACCAGTTTCTGCCAGGTTGAAGATTTTCCACCCCTTGTTCATAACCAGGACAAACCACAGCAATGTGTAGAGGCTTATGCTCCTTACAGATTATTCTCTAATTCGTGTAACATTGGAACTCTACCTTCCTCACCACGTCCAGATTCATCAATCAGGTTTACCACTTTCAAGTCTTTCCACCACAGCATTCATCCACAACGACTTTCAGGATTAATAACAGCCATTTTGTGCCTTTCTAGATAAGATAAGAGTCAGTGGAGGCGACACCAAGTGCTCTGGGAGAGTGGAGATCTGGCACAAAAGCTCCTGGGGTACAGTGTGTGACGATTCCTGGGACCTGGCAGAGGCTGAGGTGGTGTGTCAGCAACTTGGCTGTGGCTCTGCTCTGGCTGCCGTGGGGGAGGCAGCGTTTGGCCAGGGGACTGGACCTATCTGGTTGGATGACATACAGTGCAAGGGAAATGAGTCTTCTCTGTGGGACTGTCATTCCAAGCCCTGGGGACAAAGTGACTGCGGACACAAGGAAGATGCTGGTGTGAGGTGCTCTGGTAAGTGTGAAAAGGCTGAATTTAAACTAGGAGCCCTGCTAAGAGTGAAAGCATTGAGAAACAGCCTCAGATAGTTGACCTGGAGGATACTAGGATTTCTTGTTAAAGAAATGAAAGGCTGTGTTAAATTATCCTTTTGTGGGGCTGGCCCCGTGGCCGAGTGGTTAAGTTTGCGCACTCTGCTGCAGGTGGCCCAGTGTTTCGTTGGTCCGAATCCTGGGCGCGGACATGGCACTGCCGACTAGAAGGACCCACAATGAAGAATATACAACTATGTACCAGGGGGCTTTGGGGAGAAAAAGGAAAAAATAAAATTAAAAAAAAAATTATCCTTTTGCCTAACTAAATAAGATAACATTTCACTGTTCTCTAAACCTTTTCATCACTTTGAGGGGAGAAAGCTGGATTTAGCCTCAGACTTCCAATTGAGAGGATTCGGAGTGATATTTTAAAGGACACTCTATACACCCAGGGAATGCAAAAAGAAATACCCAGTTCCGTTTTGATTTCTATTTCATCTACATTTATGTGTCTCTCTTTTTCACTGTCTCTTTCTTTTGCAGGACAGTCGCCAAGATCCCTTGAAGTCTCAGGTACAGTTTTCTGCCCATCAGAAATGTCACTAATAACTAAGACAATATGGGAGGTCAAGGGAGAGAGCAAACTGCAATGAAATCAAAGGAGGCTGGGGACTTCAGAAATTATGAAACTATGGATGGCAGTGGTTGGTATCGACAGCTCTATGAGTCTACTCTGGTGTGCAGAACTTCTCTATAAAAAAGTAACTTTTTAAATATGGAGAAGGATAAGGAACGCTCATGCTACCCTCAGAAAAAAAAGTTATCTCTGCAGGTTCTCAAATATTCTTTATAAGACAGGCAAAAACAGCTCAAGCCCTGGGTATTTTCTAGGACTGGTGTTTTAGTGGTGAATGCAATGCAAGAGATAAGGCTTAATCATCAAACCTTTTGTATACAATTGGAGAGAATTTAGGACAATAGAATTATGGAAAGCTCTGTAGAAGATTAAAAGAAATCTACTGTTTAGAGATATTTTTTATCTGAGATAGTTCTCAGAGATTGTGCCATTTGTGAATATGCAAAAACTTATAGCCCTCATTCTTCTCAGCAGCTAGAAAGTCGGTTCTTTTTCAGTGTATAAATTCGCAATTGATATCTACTAGTTAAATGCCTATCAATGTTTAATTTCTATACAGGTCACTCAGCATTTATTTTATCTGGTATCCTTGGGCTCCTCCTGGTTCTGTTTATTCTATTTATTCTTGTGTGGTCTCACGTAGAGAAGAAAAAACATCTGCTCAGAGGTGAGAGCCCCATTAGAGTTGCATAAAATGTGGGTTATCTGGAACCAAGGGCACAAGGAATGGGGAATTCCCGCAGGGAGAAACAAAACCATTTGCCACCTTGAGTGAGTTGGGTGGAAAGTGGCAGCCAAATAGAGAAGCACGTGGAATGATCAAGAATCAGCCAATCCACAATTTCCTTTTGTAGAAATGTGATCACTTGGAAGCTGTAGTATACAATAGAGATGATGTATCAGATGGGCAATGATCTTAGCTAATGAAAGGAAGGTAATTGTGTACTTTGGTTCAGGCTCCAGATTGCAGAAATAAGAAACAGCCAGTGGGAAATGGCGAACCGTGGTGGAGAATTAAAAGCAAAGATGTCCTGGGTTTGAACCTCAGCTATTTATCATTTACTAGCTGCGTGACCTTTGACTAGAAAGTTTACTTTGTCAAGCTCCAATTTCCTAATCTGTAAAGTAGAGACAATACTATTGTTACCTCATTAGATTATTATGAGAGTTAAATGAATTAATCATATATAAGAATGGTGGCCAGCACACATAAATGTTATATAAAGGACTTGGTAATAAAAATGGAGGAATTTCAAGGGCTCAGCAAAAGGATAATGAATATTAGAAACATTGAGAATTCACTAGCAGAAATTGGTGCTGAAATGATCTTTAGATTTTAACTCAGAGGGATCAATATATTTCAAACCTCGTAGATATATGTCCTAGTGTAAGAGATCAGCCATTTGAATTTAAATCCTAACCATGGGGCATCATTCTCAGTTTCATCCAGAAGAAGAGATTCTCTAGAGGAGGACCTATTCCATGAGATGGATACCTGCCTTACCAGAGAGGATTCACGGCAGATGAGCACTTCAGGTTTGTGACTCCAGTGGCCTCACTCTATAGAGAGGGTGGGAATATGAGGAAATACCACTGATATTTAGATACTCTTACTTGATTGAGATTTATCTCAGCCTCCTATACAAAATACTTCATGTGAAAGGGAAGCAAAAGGAGGAGTTGATGAAATAAAACACTATTCAAAATTAAGAAAATTAGAATCTACACCCTCATTCATTTCATCTTCAGCATCATATTTAGTCCATGGCAGAGGAACCAAGTGGAGAGAATTAAAATGAAAAGTGTTGAACTGCTTCAGATGTGAGCAGTCAAATGCCTGTCCTCAGTTTTATTACAAAGCCAATAAGCAATAAACAATTGTTTTCAATTTTATTTTATTTTCATTTTTATTAATATGGCTATCTTCCTTGGGTATTATTTTTTGTACATTTATGATTATTTAAAATGTTTTTATGACATATAATATATGTACAAAACAGTTCATAAAGGTTTTAATCATTTCTTTGAAGAAATAACTATAAGTAGAATTGCTGTGACTACATAATAAACAGAGTCTGGCAAGTGGCTTTCCACTAGTTATAACAAATTTTACTCCTATAAGTTATAAGCGAAAAGGTATTTTGCTGCATAGTCTCTAACACTAAATATTTTCACCTCTTTTATAATTTTGCTAATTATTTGATAATGGTATCTCACTGTTATTTTAACATTATTTCAATTACCAAGGAGATACATTATTTTTTACATATTTGTTAGCCAATTTTAAAGCCTTAAGACTTGCCAGTTTTTCCTTTAACATTGAATACATGTCTTAATTTGCAAGTACTATTTTAATATTAAGACTATTGATTCTTCTTCTATGTTATCCATTATATACAATTTCCCAGTTTGTCACTTGACTTTAAAGTTTTTAAGTGGATTTGTATTGCACTGGAGGAAATTTAGGGCTGTTAGGTACAAAAAAGAGAATAGACAGTGCTTTCTTTCAACAGTGCTCTACATTTTATCTGATTGAAAATTTGGAGCCCACTTATCTCATTGATGGTGGTGGGGGTTATTATACTGTGTTAGTTTTGCTGGAGCCGCCATAAGAAAGCCACCATGGATAAATTAAACAACAGAAATTTATCTCCTCACAATTCCAGAGTTCAGACGTCGGAAATCACAGTGTCAGCAGAGTTGATTTCTTCTGAGATCTGTCTCCTTGGCTTGAGGATAGCCGGCCAGTCTCTGTGTCTTCATATCTTCCCTCTGTACCTCTCTGTTTCTTAAATTCCTCTTCTTATAAGAAGACCAGTCATATTGGGTTAGGGCCCACCTTAATGACCTCATTTAAAATTATCTCTTTAAAGACCCTATCTCCAAATACACTCACGTTCTAAGGTACTAGGCAGTAGGACTTCAACATGCGAATTTAGGGGGACGTGACTCAGCCCGTAACCTGTACCTAGTAAAAGAATTGTGCCAGTGTAGAGTATGCTATCTCAAAATTGCTAGATACATCTAGTTGTTTTTTGAAGTGATTGTTTCCATTTACACTTCCAACAGCAGTCTAGGAAAGTTCCTATTGCTCCACATTTTTATTAATTACCGTCTGACCATATTGACGTGATCTGCAACTCTGCTGTCTGCCAGAAGATAAAGTGAATCTTCTCTTGAGGGAAATAATATCATCCAGAACATCTAAAATGTTAAACACAAGATTCAGTATTTAAAAAAATGCCAGGCTTACCAAGAAATAGGACCAAATGTAAAAAAATACAAAAGAACCAGAACTGAAGGTGACTCAGATACTATGGTTATCAGATATTTTAAAATAACTATGATTAATGAATTCGAGAAAAAATCTGGCCAGATAGAGATTTCACCACAGAATTGGAAGTTATGTATAAGAATGAAATAGAAATCCTATAAATGAAAAATACAAAACTGAAACTAAGAACTCAATAGATAAAATTGAATAGAGCTTAAAAGAGAAAGAGTGAGTTGTATGATAGACCAATAGATAATAATTGGACTTACAGAAAACAAAAAAAAAAACAAAGGATGAAAGTATAGTAAAACTCATAAGAAGAAAATTGGGTATGATTAAAATATCTAATAAATATAACTGGTGACATCAATTTCAGGGAGGATGAAATAAGCCAACTGTAGCCTATATATCCTACTGATTATAACTAAAATCTCTTAGCAAATATGAAAAACAGCCACCTCACCTCAGACCCATTGAAATGGCTCCTACTAAAGAAATAAATAAATAAACAAACAGAAAATAACAAGTGTTGGCAAACATGGAGAAATTGGAACACTCATGTATTGTTGGTGGGAATATAAAATGATACAGCCACTGTGGAAAACAGTATGGTAGTCCCTCAAAAAATTTAAAATAAAATTGCCATATGGTCTAGCAATTCCACTTCTGGGTATATATCCAAAAGAATCAAAAACAGGTCTCTAAGAGATGCTTGTACACCCGTGTTCATAACAGCGTTATTCACAACAGCCAAAACATGGAAACAACCCAAGTGTCTATTGACAGATGAATGAATAAGCCAAAGGTAGTATATCCACACAATGGAATATTATTCAACCTTAAAAAGAAAGGAAATTCTGACATGCGACAACATGGATGAATCTTGAGGACACTATGCTAAGTGAAATCAGCCAATCACAAAAAGACAAATATTGTATGATTCCATTTATATGACATACCTACAGTAGACAAAATCATAGAGACAGAGAGTAGAATGGTGGTTGCCAAGGGCTGCAGGGGAGGGGGAATGAGAGTTATGTTTAATGGGTATAGAGTTTCAGTTTTGCAAAATGAAAAGAGTTCTCAAGATGAATGGTGGTAATCGTTGCACAAGAACATGAATGTACTTAATATCACTGAAATGTACACCTAAAATGGTTAAGATGGCAAAAAAAAAAAAAAAGAAAGAAAGAAAAATCCTTAAGACTCTGAAAAGTAAATAGCTTGAGAAGGATCTTAAAAACTGAAGAAAGACTATTACGGCTGTGCTGGTGAATTTCTTGGGGTTTTTTTTTCCCTCCTGGTCCGCCAGAGAAGCCCATCCTTCTGGCCAGAGGACTGGGGAAGGGAAATCCAGAGATATGTGGGAATCCTCTGGTTTTTTTCCTTTTTGCTCTCCTGGCCCTGCCCCTAGGCTACTTTCAAAGGCATATCTGTTACAACGCTGTTGATTTTTAGTATTTTGTTAACTCTTTCTTAGAATTTCCATCTATCCGCTTATGTTATCCATATGTTCTTGCAGGTTGTCCACTTCTTCCGTTAGCATATTAATCATAGTTATTTTAAATTCCTGGTCTGATAATTCTAATATCTCTTCCATAATCAGTCTGATTCTGATGCATGCTCTGTCTCTTCAAAGAGTATTTTTATCTTTCTCTGTGCCTTGCCATCTTTTGTTTAAAGCCAGACATGAGGGACTGGGTAAAGGAAATTGAGGTAAATAGGCCTTTGGTATGAGGTTTTATGTTTATCTGGCTAGGAGTTGGGCTGTGTTTACCATTTGCTATAGGTTTAGGTGTCAGAAGCTAAAGTTTCTTCTGGTATCCCTGTTTTTGTCTCCCATCTCGTCTTCAGGGTTCCCTAGTGACTTCTTCTTGAATAACATCTCAGATATGCAGCTCTTCCACTTGTATTCCCCAGTTATTATATAGGAGCCCTATTGGTGTGCTAGTAATGTGAAGGAGGGGAAGCGTTGTACAGTCCCATGATTTGGTCTCAATTTTCTAGTGAGCCTGTGCCCTTGGGCTGTGACCTTCACAAGTGCTTCTCGGGTTTTCTTCCCCTCTTAGCTCACTGAGACAAGAAGGCTAGAGGGGGCTGTGGCTGGATATTTCCCTTCCCCCAGGTCATTTAGGCTCTGGTAAAATCCTAAATCCTTAGGTTCTGATAAAATAGTTTCTCTTAAAGGCAGGCCTTGTTAAGAAGAACAGAATACTTTGTGTATATTTCCTGCTGGAATCACACAAGAATTTTTCTCCAATCTTCCCTGTGAGAATGTAGTAGAGCTCCTAGAGGTAAAACTAACAAAATTGTAGGAACCCTGAAGATTTTAACACTCAAGCTTGTCCACACTGAATCTCCAGCAATTTGTCAATTACAGTTTAGGTTTTCCTACCCCTATTACTGGTTCCCACAAAGGTTTCTGTTCATGCACTTCTGCTCCAGCAATTTGTAATTCTCTTTCTCTGCCTGTCTGTCTCTCCAATTTTGAGGGCAGTGGTTTCCCCTGTGATCTCAATTCTCTGAGGGATCTAAGAAAAGTTGTTGCTTTTCAATTTGTTCAGCTTTTTTGTTGTTGTATGAATGGGAGTGATGACTTCCAAGCTTCTTACATTCCAGATGGGAAACCAGAAGTTCAGGCAATCACTCTTACAGATCCAGTCATATTCAACCTTATTAATATTCAGTTATCTAAACTTTTCCATCCATAGACAACAATTCTCCATTTCTCTCAATTCTGCTAAGAATGGGATGTTTCCCTCATTACAACTTATTGTACCTCCTATCTCTGGACAATGACTCTTACCCTTGAGTTTGCTTGTCCTTTTTTTAAATCAAAATATAAATTTCACAGTTCTAGGCCTTCAAGATACTGGGAGCAAATCTGATCATCTAATTATAGCTGCACTGTTAGTGATGATAATAGCTTAATGGTTTGACCTTTTAAATTTGATAATTAAATGTTTTCCTTCAAAATAATAACTGAGGATGCTCTTCAGTCATGTGATAAGCATTCCTTGCTCGATTGTATTTTCCTAGCTGCTCAAAGACTGCGTTTAACAGCTCTTCCCTCTGCAGGGATGTTTTCTCCTACTAGGTAATACAGATTTTGCCTTTTTTTTTTAGATAGCACCTCCATCCATGGTTGTGCAGATGTTGGCCACATAACACTGCTGGAAGTTCCTCCTGTCTTGGAAGCCACAAAATGAATTTGGGCTTCCAAACCCACTAGGTAATTTGAGAACATTGCTCTGTCACTAAAACTCAACACACACAGATCTCCTACCCTTACAGAATTAAACACAATTTTTCCTACCTTTATGTTACCATATATATTATGGGACTGGTCTATATCCCCAGTCTGTTGAGTATTCAAAGTTTCCCTCTGGAAAAGAGAATGGATGATGAGAAAGTTGTTCCTATAGGAAGCTTAAAGAGTTTATCAGGATTATTTCTGATCATTGGCTGAGGCTGTGGATAGTCTGTCACTAAGAAAGAGGATGATTAGATCCCAGCTTCAAATACTGCTCATTAACAACCTCTGTTTCTAGGATTTCTGTTCCTTTTTTTTTTTTTTGAGGAAGATTAGCCCTGAGCTAACGTCTGCTGCCAATCCTCCTCTTTTTGCTGAGGAAGACTGGCCCTGAGCTAACATCCGTGCCCATCTTCCTCCACTTTATATGTGGGATGCCTATCACAGCATGGCTTGCCAAGTGGTACCATGTCTGCACCCAGGATCCGAACCGGCGACCCCTGGGCTGCCAAAGCCGAATGTGTGCACTTAACCGCTGCACCACCGGGCCAGCCCATCTGTTCATTTCTATTACGCAGAGTAGGATCTTCGTATTTAATTAAGTACAGCCCAGATTCAGTGCATTAATATTGCCCATTATTGTTTTGATCTTCAGTGCCTAGCATATAATACATGCTTAATATTTGTTAAATGTAGGTATCTTTATCTGATGTGAAAACTTTAACATAATAAACAATGGAATCATGCTCTAGAGACTTAGGAAAACAAGCACTCATTATATGATGATGTTGCATATATATATATATATTTAAAGGGAAATTCTAAAACACCTACCAGTACCAAGACAAAAAGAGACAAAAGTCAAAGTCAACTGGAAGTCTGGCAGGAAAAGAGCAATATTGTCTCTCAAATTCTAAGAGCATCCCTTATTAGAATAACAGCTTGCTGGTGCTTTTTGTTAAATTGTCACGGAATCCCAAGGTTTAACAGGACATGATTAATCACTGCCCACACCTAGCAGAGAGTGGGTGGTCCAGGCATGATGGAGAGAGGAATTGAACTTGATGAAGTCACAGCACTGGAAAGCACAATGCTTTATAAATAGCATTGAGAAAACTGTCTAATTTCCAGCATGGGTGAACCAGCAATACCGAAAAGAGCATTCCTAGGTAATCCAGAGCCAATTATGAATTTTTTTTATGGGAATAGATGGTAGGGTGCAGACATAAGTCCTATCTCCTGATTTTTATTATAGAATATTTAGGTATCACCTGCACAAAACTATTTCACATTTGACCGAAGGATCCAAGTGAATGAGCTTGAGTTCCTCTTTTTTTTTCCCAAAAATATATTGTTACCAAAATAAGAGGAAAAATGTTAGAAAAATCAGAGGCAAAGAACATGAAAACCATTTAGATGGTAACTAGCCCCAACATAATTTAGTAGGAACTGTTTTAAGTAATACTAGAACTTATTTGTATTTATAGTTGAAGCCTCCTTTCTCTTCATATGCAATATCTTAGTTATTGATAAGGATACTAATTTCTCTATCTGGAAAAGTTCAGTGAAAATCTTGAATGAAAATGTTTTCTTTAAAAGTGGATTTTATATTTCCATCTGCATGATATAAAGAACAAAAGATTGTCTAGATTATTCTAAACCAATTTTAATAAACAGTAATTTGTATTAGCAGAATTCTATGCAAAGAGTATGAATGTTGCTCTTAAAATACTTGAAACTAAAGTTTTATATTAGAAAACATTTTCATCCAGCAATTCTGTTTAGTTTATTATTGTGTTTAGCGGATGTATTAGCTTGCTAGCGCTGCCAAAACAAAATACCGCAGACTGAGTGGCTTAAACATCAGTAATTTATTTTCTCACAGTTTTATAGGCTAGAAGTCCAAGATCAAGGTGTCAGTAGGTTTCATTTCTTCTAAAGCCTCTCCTTGACTTGTAGAGAACCATAATCTCTCTGTGTTCTCACATGTTCACCCCTTGGTCTGTGTGTGTCTGTGTCCATTCTGTTCTTTTAAGGATGCCAGTCATACTGGATTAGGGCTCACCCAAACGACCTCAGTTTACCTTAGTTACCTCTTTACAGTCCCTATCTCCAAAGTCTAAGCTACTAGAGATTAGGACTTCAACATATAAATTTTGAGGGACGTGATTCAGCCCACAACACTTAGCAGATTTATTATTGTATGATATAAGGGAACGCCCTTGCCCTGTCTAAACATCGTTAATCCTAAATTCTGAGTTAACAGAGTCCAAACCATAGAATTTTGAAAGAGTAATTTCCAGAGGCATTTCAAAAGCAAACCCATAAACAGTTTTACCCTCCTCTTTCATTTTGATGTTATTTAACTCTCTTTCTTTGACAATTAAATTATATTATTACATGCTGGAACTCAGAATTCTAGATTGACTATGGGGTCAGGAAGAAAACTGACTAAGATCTGGGTATAGAAGGGAATATTAGGACCTAACACCTGCTAGATCTGTCCCAATTGATCAATTCTTCATGCTGTGTGTGTGTGCGCGCGCGTGTGTGTGTGTTTGTCTTTATATACAGTAGTGGCTTTGTTTAGAAGAAGAGGAACTTATTGCCTCTTGTTTTATAATTTCAGATCAGCTTCCAAATGTTTTTGAAAGAGACAGCAATTTTCAAATGAGTGAAGAGGAATTCAACTTACCCTGTGGAAAGTTGGTCCAAACAACATTTCCTGATCAATAAGAGAACAGCTAAATTGGTAAAGACTGGTGATAACAAAAGTCAAATTATGTGTATCACTGTTATGGACTAAATTTTTGTGCCCCTGCCCCAAATTCATATATTGAAATCTTAACTCACAATATGATGATATTAGGAGGTGAGGCCTTTGGGAAGTAATTAGGACATGAAGGCAGAGGCCTCATGAATGCAATTAATGCTTTTGTAAAAGGGATCCCAGAGAGCTCTCACTCTCTTTTCACCGTGGGAGGATACAATGAGAGGTTGTCAGTCTACAGCCTGGAAGAGGGCTCTCACCAGAACCCGAGCACACTAGCACCCTGATCTCAGACTTCCAGCCTCCAGAACTTCGAGAAATAAATGTCTGCTTTTATCAGCCACCCAGTCTATGGTATTCTATTATAGCAGCCCAAACTGACTAAGACAATCACTAAGAAACACTCCTACCATAATAAATTGAACAACGAAAAACATTACTTGAAGCTGATTTGTGGCTGTTCTTATGGATCAAGTGTGCTTAATTCCATAGAGATTTGAATGTAGAAAGCATCATTTTCAAAATTGAATGTCAGAATAGTCACTTTATTTTTATCCCTACTAGATTTATTCATTGATGGCTTTGTTCAATTGCTCTTCCTTCTAGCTTAACATCTTCAGATTTTGAGAATATCATTGTTCCCATAGGAACTGCAACAGATATATTACAGTGATAAATACCTATCTCAAAATTAAAATAATTTTGGAAAAAGCAATAGGCTTCATGGAGCTCTTAGAGGGGACGTAAAAATAGGAAAAGAGGACTAGTTTGTTATAAGGGAAATTTTATAATCTTTATGTCCCCAAACACCTTTTGTTCATTTAGGGCCTCTGCTTTCAAGGAGTTGGAGAGGCTACAAATCAGGACACTTTGGTCCATAAATCTTATCAGAAAGAATAATTCGCTCCATTCCAAAAGAAGCTTGTTTTGAAAGCTTTTTCTCAAGAGAGAGCAAGATCTTAGATTGTCCCTTAGATTTAAAGTAAATTCTGGGGCCCAGCCATGCATTATATTTGCAGTAAATATTATGAAAAAATGTAGTAGAGAGTTTAAATATTATCATTTAACCCTGACCAATATTTTGTCCTTCAGTAAAAATATTATGGGTTCCTATATAAAAATGCAGAGCTATCTCTATTTCTGTTTCATAAAAAATATGGAAAATATTGAAAGAGTAATAGCAAATACTAATAATTCTACGATTCTGAGATAATTACTGTTAACATTTTGGAATGTTTCTGTCCATCTTTGTCTACCTGTGTCACTCTTTCTTGAATATAAATGAACATATATTGTCCATCTGTGTAAAATAAAGATGCCTCATTCTTATTACATTATTTTTCTTTAAACTTCCACTAAGTCTAGCATAAATCATATGTGTTCTTGTACATGATGAGTCATTTTTCTCTTGCTGTTTTCAGGATTTCTTTTTGTTTTTCAACAATTTGGTTGTGATATGTCTAGGTGAGGATTTCTTTCTGTTTTTCCTCCTTGGGATTTGTTGAACTTCTCGGATTTCTAAATTAATGTTTTTCATCAAATTTTGGAATTTTTCAACCATTATTTCTTCAAATAGTTTTCTGCCTCTTTTTTGTCTCTTCTCTTTCTGTGCCTCCCAGTACATGTGTGTTTTCATTCAAGCTCTGTTCATTTTTCTGCAATCTCTTTTATCCATGTTCTTTAGATTGGGTTGTTTCTACTGATGAAGTTTATTAATTTTTTTCTTCTGCAATTTCAAATATGCTGCTAAGCCACATTAATAAGTTATTGTTTCAGTTGTATGTTTCAACTCCAGAATTTCTATTGGTTTTTTACAGATTTTATCTCTTCTTATTTGCTGAGTCATTGTCATCATACTTTTCTTTAATTCCGCACACATGATTTTCTTTAGTTCTTCAAACTTATTCATAGTAGTTGCTTTGAAGTCCTTGTCTGCTCAATCCAGCATCTTGACTCACTTAGAGATAGTTTCCATTGATTGCTTTCGTTTTTCTTCATGAGTATGCATCATACTTTCCTGTTTCTATCATGTCTCATTTTTGTTGTTGTTTAAAACTTTGTATTTTAGATAATATATTGCTGCAATTCTGGTTTCTACTTTGTGCCCCAAGGCAATTGTTGTTGTGATTTGTCTGTTAACTTGCCTGGACTACATCTGTGGAATCTATCTCCCTTATGTTGTGCAGTCACTGATGTCTATACTTAGGGTTTTTTCTTGTTTTTTTTTTTTACACCTGGTTTTGTGGAGATGACTCTTCGATCTGCAATGCTTAGGGGTCAGCCAATTATTGGTTAGACGTGCTCAGACACAGTGAACCAGTAAGGCCGCCTTCTTCTACCACTGGATCTGTGTGTTTGAAGAACTTATTCTAAGTTTAGGCATTTTAAAGTCTGCCCTTGCTTTTAATTTCTGCCAGAGCCTCTTGTGTTTCTTCCGCATGTGTGTGCAACCTCCAGTGAGTCAGAGATGTGTGAAGATCTTATTTGACGCTTCTATTGCTGTCTCATTTCCCAGATCTCCCTGTTAAGTATTTACCTAGTCCACTGGGTTTTTTGGGTGGCAGTGGGATAATTGGGATGGGGGAGTGAGAGCTATCCCAGGCAATAATGCCACAATTTCTTACTGTTCTTACCCAAAGTTCACGATAGACAGTTCTCAAATTGATTTTTTTTTAACTACCAAGTGAAGGTTAATATTTCTTTTGTAGTTCTTTTTTTTTATTTTAAAGATTTTATTTTTCCTTCTTCTCCCCAAAGCCCTCTGGGACATAGTTGTATAATTTTAGTTGTGGGTCCTTCTAGTTGTGGCATGTGGGACACTGCCTCAGCATGGCCTGATGAGTGGTGCCATGTCTGCACCTAGGATCCGAACCGGTGAAACCCTGGGCCGCCAAAGACGAGCGCACAAACTTAACCACTAGGCCACAAGGCCAGCCCCTCAAATTGATTTTTGCCTTTGGTCAATTTCCAGAGTTCTGAAAAGGTTTTTTTTTTTTTTTACTGTTTTATTTACTTTTTTAGTTTCTTTTGGGGGAGAGGATTTGCCAACCTGCTCACTCCATTGTGCCTCAATTACTAGTCTTAGCATCTATTTATTATCTTGCCTGAATCAATTATTACTATGATGATTAGCAAATGATGACTTTTAAATCCATAATTTCTAATTTGTTTATTTGTTAAAATTCTGTAAGAAAGAATTTTTCCTACTTCTGCATTTATTTATTCAATACGAACACATGAGTTTTCATTTTATTGAATGACTGTAGTTCGTTGCTAACATTATTTACGTTGGTGCACAAATTGTCTCACATTTGGCCGGTAGGGGCCCCCTCATGCTAGCTCCTATGTCCATTAGACACATTTCCATCATCTTTGAGTACTTCTAAATTTATGTCACAATTATAGATCTCAGGTTCATCTTGTAGTTTCCTTTTCCCAGCTCTGGAGTTAGGCACTTTTCCAAGGAGCTTTGGTTTCTTTTAGAGGGAAGTGGAATTTTGAAAGCAATACTGGAGTTTTAAGTGATCTCATTGCTCCTGGGATGTCACTATTTAGAGTCTGTTATGAACTTAATTGAGTCCCCTCAAAATTCATATGCTGAAGCCCCAAACTCAATAAGACTGTATTTGGGGATAAGGAGATAAGGCCTTTAGAAGGTAATTAGGTTTAAATGAGGTCATAAGGGTGGCCCTAATCTGATAGGGCTGCTGCCTTATAGAACAAGTAAGAGACAGCAGAGCTCTCTCTCTCTGTCATGTCAGGACACAGTGAGAAGACAGCTGTCTACAGCCAGGGAGAGATTTCTCACCAGAAACCAAATTGCCAGCACCTTGATCTCAGACTTCCCAGCCTCTAGAATTGTGAGAAATAAGTTTCTCTTTTTAAACCATCCAATCTGTGATATCTTGTTACGGCAGTCCAAGGTGACTAAGACAGAGTCCATCTCAGCAGGGAACTGGAAAAAAAATACACATACATAAACATACGTGCACACACACATGTATACATACATATACGCACATATATGTATTTTATATCTGTCTAAATATCTATTGATATGTTTCTACCCATATATTTGTCTATCAATCTACTTATCTATAATATTCTGAGTTCATTAAAGAAGACTTTCTAAAGAGACATGACAATTAAATGTAATACATGATATACTTGGCTGAATCCTGGATGACAGGATTGAGTTAATTGAAACAATAACTACATATATATGAACTTTGCATGATACAATATTTTGATTTGATAACTGTACTTGGCTACCTTAAATAGTCATTGTTCTTAGGCAATACACAGTGATAAATTTCAGGAAAAGAGCACATGATGTCTGCAGTGCAGAAAAGAGGGGGAGAGGGAATGGAGCAAATGTTAAATGGTAAAAGTGGAGAATTGTTCTTTGTAATATTCTGGCAATTTTTATGTACATTTGAAATTAGATAAAAATTAAAATGTGCAAAAATCATTTCTAACATCTATTTTGCTACTTATCAAAATATCTAGTGTTGATTGGAGATAAATGTTGCTGAAGAGCTTATGCTAGTTACTTTAGGATTTTTAGTTATTTTCTTCCAAGAACTAATTTTCCACACCAGAAGTATTTATTATTAATAAGGGTAACTGATTCCTCTAAGGTATAAATTAAAATACACACACACACACAAAATGAGAAGACAGAGACAGAAAAATAGAGAGATGGGTGGAGAATGTATGGATTAATGAATGGACAAATAATGGATGAATAGATAGATGGGTATCACAAGTAAGCCGAAGGAAATAACAAAAAAGATAACCTTAAAAAAATGACAGTCCCAGAATTCCTTAGCTGTTTGCACAGTGCACTCGGGACTACAAAAGAAAAGTCAAACAGCTCTTCTCTAAAGATCTATCTTTTCCTGGGATACATAGAGCTCCAGTTCATGAAAGGCAGCTTTAGCCCTGAGAGGTGACTTGAGATTCACATCTTGGAGCCTAGGGACTCTCTGTGACTCCAGTTTGACACGGAGCTGCTAATGTCCTCTGACTTCAACCCAGCCACGGAACTGCTTTTGCAACAAAGGAACATATTTTGGCAAATGAGATAGCGAAATTTAGGTCCATACATTTATATGCTCAAGAAATGACTCTTATTTGGACACCTCTCCAGTGACTTTCCCTCATAGCTCCTTGTGTTTCCACACAAATCCTGCCTCTGGGAGCTCAGAAGAGAGAAAGAAAACAGTACCTCCCCAGGGCCTGTGATCTTAAGATCAGGATAAAACGTAAGGAGTAAAGGCAAAGAAAGGAGAGGGTGTGGGCGATTGTTCCCAAGCTGTGTCAGTTTCATGTATGAGACAC